AGTTAAGTTTTCTTTGTCATCATTTCTGTCGTTAAGTTTTACCTTGCAAGTAAATAAAACCGAGTAATTATCATTCTGTGTTTTCTTCTTCAACTTATCACAGCAATAGTAACAACAATTAGATAATCATTGGCTGTCGCGGGCCAGATTGATGACAGTAAATCATTGGCTGTCGCGGGCCGGATTGATGACACTGGCGGGCCGTAGTTTGGAGACCCCTGATCTAGAGTCTTATGTGAGCGTAAATCAGGGTTGTTAGTTTCGATGATAGCTTAAAAAAATTCACCTTTTCAACATATACACTGCGGATGTGAATAGTCCCCCCCTCTTAACTTTTGAAAGGAACAAGATTTCAAGATCGGACAAAGTTTACTGGAAAAGACAATAGTGTTGCATCACTCGTCGACGAGATAGCACTACCAACTTTTTTTACAAATAGAAAGGGGAGTCTTATGATAACTCTTTTGATAGGTATTTCAATTCTATATCGAACATCCACAATGGCGGATATCGATGTTTCGGTATAAAACACTTGCCTTGTTGCCTCTTCAGCACCATTCTGGATAATATAACAAGTTGAAGCACCCAGTCCATTCATAAAATTCATTTATTTATTAAACGGCAAAGCCAATTTACAAAAACATATTTAACAAAGTGTGGGGAACTACAAAGTATTTTTGAATGCTCATGTCTAGTGTCTACATTACAATTTACAATTTTACAAAACATTTAGCAAAGTGTTAAATACAAAATATTAATAAATTCTTATGTCCAGTGACTATATCACTAAAAGATGAAACAAGTCTGGTACTTACAAGAAAAAAGATGTAATAAATCTGGTACTCACAAGGAAAATGGTAAGGTAAAGAAAAGCTTTGAAAATGCCATGCCTTTTCAATTGATTTTTAAAGACCTGAAGTGATAAATTAAACACATCTAAGCTATTATGATATTGATTTCTCAGCTTCAAAATAAGAGGCATCGGATTTTTCAAAGCATAATTGGTATGGAAAAAATGTATATGAAAAATGTCTGGATTTCTCGTATCTTTTTGTTTGATATGAAAAGTTATTAGTTAAAATAGTTCTGGACAGTTTATCTCACTATTTATTAATTTGAAGAGGAAATTCTAGTTCATAGAAATTCTCCTATCTTCCAATGATTTTATATTCAACTTGGTTAAGAGTTGACTGTTCATTTCGTTAAATACCAAAGTGAAAAGCACAATTCCTTAAGAATTTGTTTTGAACATTCTCAATCAAATCGATATTTACATTATAGTATGGGTTCCATATAACTGAACAACATTCAAGAATGGATCTTATGAAAGCACAATATGATATATTTTTTGTTTTAATTGAAAAGTCAGTAGAAATTCTCAACACAAAACCCAGCATTTTGAGACTTTTTGCCACAATTTCTGATACTTGAAGATTAAAATTAATTTTGCTATCAAATTTAACTTCCAGATCGCGAATAAATGTTTCTCTTTTAAGAGCTCTATTATTCAATATATATTCAAAGAATATTGGACTTCTAATTTTGGCGAACGTAATGATTTGACACTTGTCAATGTTTACCTCTAACAAATTATTTCTACACCACATGGAAAAGGCTTCGAGATCTTTTTAACTAATTCAGCATCTTCCTGGCCAGTAGTTGCTCGATAAAGTTTGAGATTATCAGCAAACATAAAAAATTCTGAAAATTTGAAAANATTTTGTTATAGTTTCATAGAAAATCATAACAATATTTCATCAACTTATTTCTCATTACATAAACTTATTTTCTTCTCAGAATTTATCTTCACCAGCCAACCACATAACGGTCATCGAAACAGTACCAAGTTTTGAAATGGTACCTGGAAAATATCTTTCATCTAATTCGGCAGTTCTCAACTCGAAGTTGAAGCCTACAAACACGAATGCTACTCCTTCTACCAGTTACACGTTACCTCCAGGGGGTATGGGTAGTTCTACCAGGCCTACTCCTTCAACTTCCTCTGCATTGCGAACACCTCCCAGTAGATTAGCCTATTCACCGATAAGTAATGATGTGGACGAGAACTAGGACAGTTACCTGCAGCGAGTTTTTGCAACAGAAAACTCTATTTGAAAATGAGCTTTCAGTTCTGAGTAGTTGTCAACTGTGACTTTTGTTCTCAAGAAAATGTAGACATGATAGACCCGATATCGTGATGAAGTGCTCATTGCTAGGAAGTGAATCTGCCGAGGGATTTTATCATTCAAGATTGAATTGGGTTTTGACAATATCACTATACTGTTATTTTAAAAACGAACATTCACTGAAAGTTTGAAAAAATTATGATACTATAGACGTAAGTTTAAAGATGGTATCTTATTCCAATGTTTCCCTGTTATGTCAGTCTTGAAATTTCGTAGTTCATACTTTAAGTTTTATAACTCTGATAGGAATACTGTTATTTTTTATTGGATTGATAGTAAATATTGATTCAACATGATCTGTTGGCCAGTTGGAAAATTAGGTTTTTTTTTCTCCTAGCAAGTTCGAATTTTTTTCAAAGACATTTTCCCGTCTGATCATGCATTAGATGAATTACCATCATGGAGTTCACTTAGAGACTAATTCGAAAATTTGACATCGGAATTACATATTTTTCATGTATTTTGGACAAGACATTAATTTTCCAGTTTCATTGGAATTTCTACTAAAATTAAGGAATTTTTATATTTCAAATTCCCACCAATTAAAACCTGATTATTTAGGGTTCAGGTACGTTTTATTTGCAATCCGAAAGTTACTAGTGTATGTCATCTGGATTTTATAATTTTAACAGCAAACTAAAGGAAATCGTTATAAGTCTGCTCTTCATAATGAATAGTAAGTTTCAAAAATATTGTTCACTGACCCATTGCAATAAATATATCCTGATGAATGAACGGTTTTCCAGAAACTCCGGAAATAGTAAAAGAATGGGAAATTCAAATATGAATTAACAAATATTCAACTGAATTTTTTGTTTTCCTTCAGTTTTCAGTTGACATTGACGCCACCTTGTGGCAATGGTCCCTTCGAATAGTTAATAGCTACTGAATGGAGTTTTTCTTGACAGTTGCAACTTAGCTTTTGTGTTATGTGCTATTTTTTTATATTCCAGAATTCAAACACGGATTTTTTCCGGTTTGTATATTGGAAATTCAGACATTAAACTCGAAATAATGTGAACTGTGAATAAGGTTGAGTTAAAAGGTTAGAACCAGTCTAAATTCTGAGTTTGAGCAGAAATTTTCAATTTACATTATAAAAACTGTTGGGAGAGGTTCCTCTTCTGGATAAACCTTTGCCAGCTGATGAATAATATATATGCCAATCAGACAGACTTCATTTGAAGCACTATGCTGACTACTTTGTGTATTTCTCAATAGTGCCAGTTGTCAAAGGTATCAAAGTTTGTATTTGCCCATTATTGAGTTCCATTTGCTGTTTTCATTGATTTCATTTTCTCTATTATGTTTTCTCAATAGTCAGTTGAAGTAATGTCATAAACATCAAGTCATGAAAGTATACATTCTTCAATTAACCAGTCAACTAACACTAATTACAAATACATGGTAGTCAACCCGAAAAATCTAATATGATCTGTTTCACTTTTTCTGAAGTCAAATATGTATTATGAAATCACTATTCTTTTTATATTATCGAGTTGGTGACATCTAATAAGATTGTCTTGCCTGAAACACACTTTTCAACTGTTTTTTAGATTTCATTTGTGACTGATTTGCGCTAGTTTCATGAGAAATTCCATCAGGTCATGTTGATAATGTATCTAAATGAAAATTTTCATATGTATATATTGTTTGTATATTGTCATGTAAATATTTGGAATGTCGTGCAAAAAAGCCGTTGAAGACAGTGATATTGCCAAATTGTATCCTTAACCATATTTGGTTTGTATATTTTTTACAAATTACCCAAATCGTTCTGATGCTTTATATATTTTGAGGACTTTTTCCCTTGTAAATATCTTACTTTAGTATTATTTCTGATGGTTGACTGACTTTTTTAGATATTTGGATTGTATAAATTTATTATGCTGCTTTTGTTGGATATTTGTTTCATCATGTCAACTATAAAGAATTCGTCTTGTAAGTCTATTAAAACTGTTTATATTTCAAGTGATTTTTCAATAAATTATTTGTATTGGAGTTCATCATATTCCAGAACATGCCCAAAATATTTTCTTGTAGCTCAACCAGAATATCTTTCAAAATTTGGATCATACACAATATTCAAGTGTTTCAATGTAATGTTATTGTAGCAAACAATCACATCACTGTCGATGCTACGATGTATCTTATCTCGGGACAAATTTTTGGATGACACTATATATGGTAATCAACTAAAAAGACATGAACGTTGTCTGAAGGCCAATCACTTGGTGGACAATTTCAGTAGAAAAGAAGAAGCAATTAACATTAATGAAATCTGGCTACCTGTCCTTAATGGTACACAAAGTCAGGCAATCCAATTAAATGTAGAGGAATAGATATATTTTTCAAGCAGTAATTCAGTGATTGTCATGATCTTATGATCCATATAAAATCAAAGTGCCTCCATTGTTTATGCTAAACCCACAAAAGATACAAACATCATAATCTTACTTATGATGCACTGTTTGGAACCTTTGGTGTAGTAATGAATATTGCTGCAGTTTTTTCCCAACACCAAATCGTTATTTTTAACACCTCGACACGTGTTTCGTTCACCAAATGATCATCTTCAAAGAGGACATTTGACCACTACAATTTTGTTATTTTGCTCTCTCTGTACAGTTTTTCCGGTTTCTGCACCCCATATTTATAACATTCAAAATCAATCATTGTTGCAAACTGTTGCAACTAATTTAATTATTGCATTCTTTATGTAAAAATTCATTATTATTTTAAATGAAAATGTATATAAATAACAATTCTCCTGTATTGACAATATTTATTATAAACGAAAATATACAATATCAAAGAAATACTTTCAAGTGATGATTATCTAACAATAAAAGTATATCGTGAAAATGTCAGGTTTAACTTTGGCCGATTGCTTCATAAAATTAAAGTATAATGATAAATTCATCTAAATCAAAGTATATTAACAATTCATATATAATATAAAAAATTTCATTTTCTAATTTCAATGACTTCAGTTATCATACCAACATCGGACCCATTAAAAATAAATAAACCTTCATTTTTGTTTGTCAAAAGATTTCCACTTGATTGAAAAACAGTTTTTTAACTCGATTGTCAAACTGTTATTTATTTTTTATGTGCTAAACTGAGTTTAAAATTAGAAAACTCTACAATTTCAACCTTCTTACCTAATATCTTTTCAACATTCAATATCTTTTCAAAGTTCATTACGTTACTTTTTTGGATCAGACTACTAATTCAATATGATGATATATCATTTGTTATCTATGTCGATAGTTATTCGAAACCTGTTTTATCAAAAACTGTATATTATTGATTCACTTGAAGCTATAGTATATACGAAGTCAATTCGAATGGCAAAAAACTAAATAGTTACCGAACGTCGGCAGTTTCTTTGTATGGCATGGGCGGCGTGGTATAATTACGAGGTTTCATAATTATTTTTATGTGGGAGGTACAAAAGTTAGATGTTCGAATTGACTTTGTCTAGACTCTTAATATTCTTGTTCCTTTCCATCAAAAAACTTTGGTGATGGGCTCGGTCATATTCAAAACAAGATGTTGTTCATTAAAAGCAGTGACCTCACTATAGTATGTTAATCATCGCTAATGTGAATCCATGAATGGATCTGATTTTCTGTCTAGTTTAAAATCTGTTTTTCCGTTAACCAGCTGTCGCACCCCTACGAAAACCTTGTGCGAGCTGAAGATTAACGAGGTCTTACCCTTTAACGTGTGATTACTAACACGGGTTGGACGATAGCAAGTGAAAATCGATCGTTCAGCCTGGGGCTTGAACCACCGACCAAGACGGCGATCAATTCGAGTGAGCGAAAAAAGCACCCACGTCGAACCGACAGGCTACCGACCGTGGATAGTGTTGTGTTATTAATTTTCACCAGATAACAGATCAGTGATTTAGTAAACTAATGTAAAATGGATCAGATCAATCTGCTATAAACCTGATAATATCCAAGGTTGGATGTTAGAAAAAGTTTAAGTTATCGACAGAACTATGCCAAATAAAATATTGGTTTTTGGGAAAGAAAGTTTTTGGCTTTCTACTACTCCATCTGATAGCATATACGAAGTCAATTCGAATGGCAAAAAACTAAAGAGTTACCGAACGTCGGCAGTTTCTTTGTATGATGGAGTAGTAGAAAGCCAAAAACTTTCTTTCCCAAAAATTAATCACTCCTAAAAATATAACCCTTTCAATTCAAAATAAGTAAATATCTTACTTTAGTATTATTTCTGATGGTTGACTGACTTTTTTAGATATTTGGATTGTATAAATTTATTATGCTGCTTTTGTTGGATATTCGTTTCATCATGTCAACTATAAAGAATTCGTCTTGTAAGTCTATTGAAACTGTTTATATTTCAAGTGATTTTTCAATAAATTATTTGTATTGGAGTTCATCATAGTCCAGAACATGCCCAAAATGTTTTCTTGTAGCTCAACCATATCTTTCGAAATTAGGATCATACACAATATTCAAGTGTTTCAATGCAATGTTATTGTAGCAAACAATCACGACATCACTGTCGATGCTACAATGTATCTTATCTCGGGACAAATTTTTGGACGTCACTATATATGGTAATCAACTAAAAAGAAATGAACGTTGTCTGAAGGCCAATTACTTGGTGGATAATTTCAGTAGAAAAGAAGAAGCAATTAACATTAATGAAATCTGGCTACCTGTCCTTAATGGTACACAAAGTCGGGCAATCCAATTAAGAGAAACCAAGCTACGCCCGCTGATAATATAAAACCAGATTCAAATACCGCAATAGTAGACGAAATGTCAGCCATGAAAACCTACAGACCACAGCAAAAAAAAACGAAAATAGCTCCGGCCGTGAAAGTATGTTCGAATTGACTTTGTCTAGACTCTTAATATTCTTGTTCCTTTCCATCAAAAAACTTTGGTGACGGGCTCGGTCATATTCAAAACAAGATATTGTTCATTAAAAGCAGTGAGCTCACTATAGTATGTTAATCATCACTAATGTGAATCCATGATAATACATTGTTTCGGAATGGATCTGTTTTTCTGTCTGTTTAAAATCTGTTTTTCCATTAACCAGCTGTCGCACCCCTAGGAACGACAACCCTCAGAAGTCGAAACTTGTGCGAGCTAAGGATTAACGAGGTCTTACCCTTTAACGTGTGATTACTAACACGGGTTGGACGATAGCAAGTGAAAGTCGATCATTCAGTCTGGGGCTTGAACCACCGACCAACACGGCGATCAATTCGAGAGAGTGAAAAAAGCACCCTCGTCGAACCGACCGTGGATAGTGTTAAGTGTTATTAATTTTCACCAAATAACAGATCAGTGTTTTAGTAAACTAATGTAAAGAATCGAGAAAAGTTACTCAGGTAAGTGTATAGAATGGATCAGATCAATCTGCTATAAACCTGATAATATCCAAGGTTGGACGCTAGAAAAAGTTTAAGTTATCGACAGAACTATGCCAAATAAAATATTGGTATTTTTTGGACTTGCATACATGTCTGAAGCTTCAAAATTTGCTTAGTAATTATTGAGTTTTTTCAAAAGTTTTGTCCATTTCAATGTCATGTGTTTTATTTTTAGATTGGCTTTTCGTGTTCTTCTGATTCGACTTTCAACTCACTGAAATATTCTATTTGCCGGGAAGTTTGGTCTAAGGATGACAAGATATTGCTAAAATCAGATTTCTTCACCTTGGCAGATTCTTGAGTACTTCCATTTTTTGTTATTGTTTCTCTAATCCAAATGCAATGGTAAATAATTTTGAAAGATAAAGAGCCATTTGGAAAGCTAGGTAAGGTTAGAAAATAATGATTTCTATGAGCAGATATATTATTTGTCGACAGGAACAAAGCACAAGAATACCAATATTTCATGTGAGACAAACCTTGAAAACATCTTGAGTAGTATGTCAATTCACATCATCAATCGGTTTTATATCATAGTCGGATATTAAATAAGTCAACAAAAAATAATTATGACTAGAAACTCCCTGGAAAGGTATTTACATTTGAAATAAATCGTTGATACCTGAAATATCAGTCAATGCATCAATTCTCACTGTTACAGGGAATGTAATAGAGACGGTAGCTATAAAAATTTTAGAAAATTGGTCATATCTCAACCATTGTAAGCTCGGACACAACTCACCTACTTAATTTTAACTTTGGTTGACTTCAACAAACTAAAATTCCCATACACAACGTACTTATTAGTAAAATATGGTATGAAAAACGATCTAAAATACCGATTTGATGCTTCCGAATTCAAAAACTCAAAACTTTTGATAGTCTTCCACCTATCTTTCTGTTTTGCATATATTGGTTCTAATTTTGTTTCTCTTCCCAAATCCAGGTCTAACAGAAAGTGACATTTACTGAGATCAAAATAGAGGCTAGGAACTTCCTCATTTTTATCGTTGAAATATTCGTGAATGATCGTTGTGGCATTGGGTCCCTCCGAATAGGGGGCTGGTAACATACCATCGAATTCAGATTTAATGAATCTTATATTCCAATTAGTGTTTGGTAAAAAAAAAGAGCCTGGATATCTGTGCCAGTCTTTTCCAAAACAGACGTTAACTTGAGCCCTCTCTAGTATTTTCGTTTCCGATGGGTATCTGTTCAGTTCCATCATCAAGTCTAGAGGTGCATGATAATTCTGATGAAGGGAGAACACTCTCGAAACCCCTAGAAATACCGATAAATATGGTTTACAAATATGGAATTGATTTTTCCATCCAAGAAACTACTTCTATGTTTTTTAATTCTTTGGGAAAATGGTTTCCCTGTTTGGCCAATATATAACTATTTAACAAATTAAGAAGTTGATCCACTTAATTTCGTATTTATTCCCAAATTGCTAGTTTCAAAGACGGAATGGAAATGACTTACCCAGCACAGACGTTATCGCAATAGTCAGTACCACTATAAACATTGTCTTATCCAAGTAATGGGTGCCTACCGGAATTTTTTTCACCATATTCCAAATTCTAAAGCAAAGCTTCTGTATTACATCTACAGTTATAGCCCCACTGAGACAAATCAGTGGATAAATGGGAAATAGAAATCTTTCTTCTTTATGCTCTTGAAACATAAAAACTAACAACCACAGGTACATAGGACTCAGCGATAGCCAGTAAGGCAGATAAACGGTGCACTTATTTTTGGCAGGTACAAAGAAATGATTCATCGTTATTGCTATGGGACTCAAAAGGGCAAAGACCTGAAAGATGAAGAAGACATCAGTTCTTGAGCAATGAAATATTCAAGGGGGTGTTGAAAAATACTGGTCATATCGTTACACCAACCATTTAAAAAATGAACTAGTCTTTCAGCTACTCACCCAAATGAAATTGAAGTTCACAAATCCATTCAACAAGTAAAATGAGAATGGTTCTGTTCCATATAAACTGGGACCAGCACCTCCGAAAACATTGTACTTCACAATATTAAGAGGGGCAATGATAAAACGTCCAAATATCATGGAATCAATTATTACCATCGGTATTAGAATGACAAGAGCACATAATGCAGACCAAGCAGCAAAATCAATTATCAATTTTTTTCTAACTAGTATATCAAAAGCAATTGGTATTCCCAGTAGAGCTGCGAAAGGCCAACCTAAAAATTAAGATATGAAAATAAATTTTAGTTGATTAGATTCTAGTAATTACAACAGTAATTAAGAGGATATACAGCTTGTCAAATAGGATAGGAAGAGCTTTCTGAATTCCGTTATGGTCCTGACCACTAGGTGTGTGTTTGTTAGAAGACTATGAGAGCGAGAGAGACAGAGAGAGAATTCATTCTGAAGTTTCTTCCTAGATTTGACATGCTATCGAAAATGATACTGGTTTGCTTAGACTGATCGAGTTAGAGGTATATTATACTTATCGAGCCTAATCGGTCCCAATACCTTTTTATATTTGCAGAAAAAAGAAAAATTCGAGAAGCAAGAGTTTAAATTGGCCGCGTGTCTGTTGACCAATAAAATGGATCGTGTCTACAGCGGTGTTGCCAAGTGACAATTATTTTAACAAATATACGAATATGGCAATATCGCTAATATATAACGTTGAATTTCTTATTTTTGGTGGGCGACATGAATGTATAACTGATAAATTTTATTAGGGTTCATGAGCTTTCGAGAACCATTTAAAAATATAGCTTGGTAAATACTATTTAGAACCATGGTTTTCGAGTATATTTTATTTCATATGGAGAATTTTTTCATGAATTTAAACGTTAACGGGTTCATATACACTTCCATTATTAAAATTTCTGTGATATTGACATGAACATGTCTACTGCCGGAGATATTTCAAAAATAACGTTTTTATTGCGTTTTGTGTTATTTGGATCACATGTATAATTAATTCTCCCTTCCAATGCATTCTTTACACTTTCTTCTTAGATTCAGTTGTCGGAAGTTAGTGTGATTTTACTTTGATTCACGAATGAATCAGAAACTGTTTATATGCTCCGTGAATTTTACAATTTGGCAACGTTCATCATTTGTATTGTTTCTAATGGTCAATCGAACAAGAACCGTGACTAGGCCCGTGACGTCACGGGCCTAGAAAATCCGATTTTTAATAATTAATTACGGGAAAACAACGCTATTTAGAGAGTTGAAACAAAGAACATATTATTCAATTTGAAATTACTACCACATGAACTGTAAACCAAAAATCATGAAACAAGCCCATTGTACATTGGCAGATTTTACTAAAATTGATATTTTGCAGACATTTTGGCGGCTACGTACAATCGATTAGCGATTTTTTTAGTTTTTTGTGTTGGTACACTTGTCCCGACATGTTCACAATTTCAGCTGTTTAGCATGTTTAGTTTGTAGGTGAGAGGCATAAAAAGTAGAAGTGTTTGCTTCTTTGGCGATTTTATGCCATCGTAAAATGTATCAAAGCATCTGCATGAATTTTGTTTGAAAAATAAAACCAAGAGAGTAAAAATATTCCAAATGTTGACAGTGGCATACAATGATTGTACTCTGTACACATCATCGCCTGAGAAGTTATTACTGGGGCAGCTTAAACTGCGTTAAGTTACTTTCAAGATTTTTTTTCCGTCCTCAACAATTATTTTCAGCTGGAAGAGTTAAACAGAAAAAATACACAATAACACTTCTAGGAATAAAATACTCTGGAGGTAAAATAAGAGTGATTCAAAGGAATCATCCTGTATTAGATAGTTGAAAACCACTATTTCCGAGTCATAAGGGTCCTTCTACAGTTAGTGTAAAAAAAAACAGCATAGTGAATACAGTTGCTACTAGACCTCAGAGCAACTTCAAATCAATTTCTACACAGGAAAGGAAACAGTTTAACATCAAAACTATGAATTCACTAGATTCAAAAGTTGCATCTAATGACCTTCAAATGACATACAATATTAGGCATCATTTTCACCACTTGTAAAAACCATTGATTTTTAATCAAGTTTTCATCTCAGTGCTAATATTTCCAAATTGGGTTACTTCAGTGTCCACAATATCAAATGACTTTGAAATATTAGTAATGATCAAGGTAGCGAAGGCAAGGCTTTTACAATAAGCATAACTCTTACTTAAATCACAACTTACCCAAAAGTGAACCAAGCGCGGTGAAAAATATTGATAGTTCAAATTGCTGTTGCCACCATGCCGCACATGCAGCTGCAGCTGCATACATAGCAAAACTAGAAGGCAAATAAGCTGTACTTGAAATGAACATTCCTGCCGAAAACAACTGAAAAGCTAAACAAATCCTTCCGATATGTACTCCAAATTCTCGGCAAACAGCTCTGAAAAATATAGTAGTTTGAAGATTATTAACATTAAAAGGCTGAAAACATATCTTATATTTTTTTATATTTATTCTGTACATGTAGTTTGCTAACAGACAGATGAAAATAGTATGTATTACTACAATTTCTGTTTTTGTATCATTTTGCGATTATTCTTCAGAAATAAAGATGAAAAAAAATTCATGAATCTCAAAAAAATGTGTTAATTTTTCAATACAATTTACTACATTTATCCTCACAGTTTTGATAAGCTCGAAGAGAGGATTGAAAATATATTCATCTTCCTTCAATGTCAAATGATGACTAATGGTTTTTCAGAATTCCAAATTTCATTGTTTTCATTCTTTATTTATTTACTATATGAAATTCTTACTTGTAGAAATAAACCTCAGCAGAGGCGCAAATCAAACCAAGAAGGCACCTGATGAAATAAAACATCAGTAGTGGATTAGGCTGTAACAGCTTTTGGTAAAACCATGCAGGTGCAGCATGGAGCATCAAATAAAAATATGATCTCAATCCAAACTCGGGGCTGTATTCCCATGTTTGCAATCCTTTCCCAAATACTAAAACAGAAAAAAGATAGTGTAGTGCAATGATTAAACATAACAAAAGCATATTTTAAATGATAGAGCTATTGCGTACTAATATTGTCAGTATTCGTTTTAATGTCTCATGCTAGTTTTTTCAAAAGATTTTGATTAGACCTATGTTTTTTTGTCTGCTAATCACCACTATGTTTTTTTGTCTGCTAATCACCAATCTAGAGTCAAAACTACTCCAGAAAGTCACTTTTGGTAATGAAAACTCCAAATAACATTTTCTTTTCAATACAAATACTGCGGACTTTCACAAATAGCTTTTTCGTTATTTCGGTTGGAAGCGTTACAAAATTAAACTAGAAATGAATATGACAATGTAGAATTCATATGGCTATTGTGGAAATAAGGAATGCTACTTATTAGTTAGAAAGTGCCTCCCACAATTAATTTCATGTTTGCAAAACAGCTTGCCTCAAATTGACAGAAATATTACCAGATAAATGCACACTATTCTCAACCCAATGATCATTTGATTCACAATTTTGCGGAGTGGCCATAACATTCATATAAATGATACTAAAATAATTCCCTTTCAGTAGTATCAACACATGCAATAAACTGGACATTTGAGTTCTATGAATAGCGACGAAGGTCCTATTTCTAACAGCCCTTTGTTTGGTCTTATACGTAATAATTCTAAAAAAAAAAAGATAAATATTAGAGATAATCACTAACATAGAGGAAATACATAACGAATTAGAGGTATTGAAAACAGTTAGTTTAGCACAGGATCAATAACAGGTAGTTATTGGGATGAATTTGACCTGGTTTGGTTCATATTTGACAGGACGTCAACAGGTGGTGAAAACATGAAGTGGGCAGTCTGATCTCAGTTACATAAAACATGAAGTACCTCAGGGGCTTGAATTATTTGAATAAATATTCATTTTAATTAATAATTCGAGCCTGTTGCAGCGCGAACCCCTTGTGTTTCAACCTAAACAAAACAAAACTAATTACTAAATACCAGATGATTTAGATTTGGATAACCACTACATAGAAAACAAACACACTAAATTCCTAATAAGTGAATGAAGGTTTACCGCATGTCATTGGTAAAAAGGTGTCATTTCATGAGTTTTTCATTACCAGAAGTGACTTCCTGAAATATACGATTTTACATTAGTTATCCATGATTAGCAGAACAAAACGGCAACTTGAACAAAAATTTGATTGACGGTTTGATCAAGTTCTTTGAACTGACATTATAAATGCAATAAAAATTCAACTTTCTGATTTTAGTATTTACTTAAATAGTGCATGGGTTCCCAGTAATTGAAAGTCTCGTCGCAGTCAGATATGTGTGACCATATTGCAGCAAAAAATCTAGCCACCAAGAGAAACTTGAAAGCTGTATCACCAGATGGGAAAATTAGTCCAGTGTTATTTGTATCTGTTTTGCTAAAATTTAAAAAAATTCATACAAAATATAACCTTAAAATTTTACATAAATACCTGACTTGAGCTTTAACTGTTTTCTTGTGCCCCTTTTCTCGGGATTCTTTACGCGTTGACTTAGGAGCATTTTGTCGGAGTCTGAAAGACAGCTGGCTTTTCGTCATTCTCTTAATTATTTTCAAAAAACTTATTATCATAACATTTCCATTCTATCAACCATAACCTTGTATCAAAATTCCTGAATTTAAAAAAAAATGTTCCTTCAACACTTCAATAAGCAAGGTGGCGCGGCAAAACTCAAGGAAATAAAAAAGAAATTTAAAATAATATTTTGTATCAAAATTTACAAAAACGTTACGTTTATTTCATCAAAATTCCTCACAAAATAACTATTTTGAAAGTATTGTTGCCAGAAATGATGCGTTATTTGAAAAAAGTACTAGACCGTTAGTCAAAAGCCAAGTAGTTGTTAGGGTAAATTATGTGAAATATATGGCGTGAGGTGAATAATTTCGATGGATTCCTGAAAAGTTATATCTTTCTGGAATTACGTCTGAGAAAGCTATTGTATAATACGTGTTGCGGTTTGATAAACTGTTTAGTGGTGATATCACAATGAAGTGTCAACAGTTGAATACATTATGGATTTTCACCAAATATCGAAAGGAACTCTCCGTGTCAATGTTTATATGACAATGTGATTTCTGAGATGTTGATGACAAAGTTTTTTCAGCCTTAAGCCTTATGCTGGGGCTCTGGTCCCAGCATAAGGCTTAAGAGAAGGGGTCCTGTGGTTTTCAACTCGGATTCGTTTTTCCAACATTCAACACAGAAAATTCGACTTCAAACACGGAATAATATAAATGAGGGCCAGTTAGATTGTGTTATAATAACGAAAATGTCTCAATTCTGAATTTGAAGCAGGATTTTCAAATTACTTCACAAATTGTGAGCTTATATCATTTTTCCCCATCCCAAACATAGGTTCCAAGTGTTACGAGACACTCATAGATCAAAAAATATAGGCGTTCTCGATTTGCATGAGGTAAATTCAGCTGTCGGTGTCACATCAATTTTTAAAGCAGTTGTGTTTCTGAAAAAATTCGATATATCTTACTTTTCGTAATTATTATTGAGCTACTAACTGTACTCAGAAATAAAAAACTTGAATAGCTGCCAGTTTTATGTCAACAGCTGATGATACCAAACGCCAATGAACCTTCTCCATTGTAGAAAGTCTTTGTAGAATTCACTAATTTATCAGTTGTCAATAAGCTCATCAGCTTAATAGGGGTGTTCGCCTGAAGTCATGAACACCTTCCAAAACTGTCAATTTCCATGTGTTCTGTGTTGAGATTTTATTTTCATTATTATTATGTTGAATGTATATTTATAATAACATTTTTATCTTTGGTTGATATATTATTGACTTGTTCACATTGTGATGTAGTTTCCCTTGTATAGTTCTTCAAGTAAAAATGATTTTAAGAAACGTCTTCAGTATGGTGGAGTCTTTAGGACTTCTCAAGATTTCTAGGAGACAAATTCCTGGGAAGTATTCTATAGTGAAATTACAAAATTCCTCATACCAAAAAGTTTCTCATCAGAAAGCTAACAGTGTTGAAAATGAGGGACAGTCTGAAACTGATAAAACAAAAATTCAAAAATTAAAAGATCTCTTCAACCTCCAGACCCCAGAAGCTAATGAAATATTTGGAAAATATAAAAAGTTTGCAAAAACTTCTACCAACTGCATAAATGAAAATTACTCTTCCTGCATAGGTCTGGGTATTTCAAAAAATACATTGTTGAAATATCCAGGGATATTAGCTGAAGAAAACATTTCCCTCAAAGTAATGACACTCAAGTCCCTACCACTCAGCATAAATATAACTGCTCCATTACTTTTGCTGAATTATAATGTACTGTGTAACTTTGTTTTTAAGGAAGTTGTTGAAGGAAGAATTAAAATCATTTCTCGCTTATTTCAGGTAAAGAATTTTAAATTTTGTTTTGCTTTCTTATGAACTTATTACATATGGTCTATTGTAAAATTGTCTCCAAAACCGTAATAAACTTATTCAGCTATATAATTCATACCGTGAAATGATGAAAAATATAGTTTACAGCATGTAGCTCAACAACAATTTTGATAGATATTTTTCAATAAAAATGAAATATCAACTATTTTCAGGTTGAAAAAAGTGAAGTATGCGAGTTGATGGCTGAAAAACCTTTTATCCTTTCAATTGATATAAACCACTTGACTACAAATCTGGCACTGTTATCAGGTTTGTTTTACTAACATAGCATGATAACTTTCCTCATTAATTTGATAACTGTTCTTTCAGAATTTGGTATAACAGTTGAAGATGTTATTAAAGATCTTTGGGTACTCAAGTACAGCCCTTCTGCAATAAAAGAAAGGCTTAATTTGGCCAAAAGTTATAATGTAGAAACTATGAAAACGTGGATGGTGAGAGCTCAACGCGACATTTTCGATACGTGAGTGATATTATGCAAAATAAACATTGTTTAGTTATATATATGTCTTCCCTCCAGATATATCCAGAGAAAATCAGAAAAAAAAACTATATTGGGAGAAAACTCGTTGGTGGAATATTTATCAGAAAGGCTAGAGTGTTCAGTTCCAGTAGCAAAAGCCGTTATTTTAAAACAGCCAGCCTTGCAGAATAAAAGTTTGAAGAAGATGAATGAAATAATAGATTTCTTATTGAATAATGGATTCAAACCTGTTCATATATGCAGAACACCTAAAATTTTATTGCACCGTGTGGAAACTATCGAAAAAAGACTCAAAGAGATGGAAGATCTAGGAATACAAACCGATGCTTTATATGTCTTAACTAAAAGCCAAAAACAGTATATGCAAATTATAGAATCGTACCTCGCTAACAAAAATAAAAATTGATGTTTGACTAAGAAATATTTTCAAACAAGTGTCTTTGGGGCGGTGGACAATACATGGAAGTTGAAGAGCAATAAAAGCCTAAAAGTAGATCGGATAGTAGTTATTTTGATTTTACACTTTTTTTTTGTATCACTGGTTACCAATTTTGTCAATACTATGAACGAACGTAGATCAGATGGTGGTTGGAACTCGATTGTGATGTGAATGTTACAACCACACTATATTACGAAAATATTGTAAATATAATCAATTTTCATGTTTTACGAATAGTTTCTATATTTGTGTCTACATTTCTCCAAAACAAGCCCTTTTCTTAATCACCAGAAATGCAATACTTTTTTTGATGCAATGTCAGTGAAACATACATCGAGAAGGGTATTTCATTTCAGGTGATTGGGAAAAGTACTTAATTTGGACTCATTTTATGCCAGAGGTTCCAGTTTTATCTTTAAAGAGTAATTTGAAAAAAAAAGTTATTTCTCATCTTTCAACATAGCTTGCTTGAACTTTTTAGTTTAGTAATATTTTTCAAAATCAACTGTTTTTGTCATAAGGTTATTATTTTTGTGTTGCCGATTTGGAGATTATGAGGAAACTTAAGTGGATTTATTGATGTCAATTTTCAACTAATCTAAGTTATGAAAAAAATGTGTGGAACTATATAAAAACTAATATTTAGCAATAAAATGCGTTTGTTGTCATACCTTTTTCCAAAATTTAACAAAGGATCTTGAATGGAAATGAGAGTTCTAGTGGTGTTTCAGTACCAATCTCCAAATGAAAAATCACTCTCCATATCTCTGCAGCTATCACTGCAACTGGTCAACACGAGCTCAAAAGTCATGAAGGTTGTAAAGGAAACGTTTGAATCTGAGCTGTTCTCAGTAGAAACAATCCTGAGTAAGGAGTGGGTAGGACAGCTAAAAGCCAAGCTTCAACATCGACCGTCTATTGAAAAGTGCCCTTCCTCTCTGCAGCTTTCACTACAAATGTCCATCTTCATGATAGCAGAACCTGCACTGTTTCAATCTGCACAGATCTTATTAGTGGTACTCGACGAGGCCATAAATTCAAATTTTGAACTCTGATGTCCTTAATAATCCTCAGTAAAAAGTGGGCATGACAACTCCTATTATAAAGATGCGCCATCTAGTCCCAACTATTGCAGTGCCAAACTTTCAGTTTATCAGATGCCATTCACAACTGTTTTCTTAAGTGAGCAGAAAGTTGCTATGTAGCCATAATAATTTTATTCTCACATGATTTTGGAATATATATGTAATTGAATAAATGAAATGCCTTATTTCTTAATTTTTCGTTTTTGACTGAATTTTATTTGACTGAGAATTGAAATGAACAAACAATACTGCTGCGGATAACCTCGCTTGAAGAGACTGCTGACTGAGGTCATGAGCCCATTCTACTCTTCCCCAATGACCAGTTTGATATTCTTCTTCCAACCGAGATAATAAAACTGCTCTTTCTGGTGTTATGAACCGTTCAGTGCAAGCCAAACTCAACACAACTGACTTTAATGTGTCCACACAATACATGAATCCTGAAAATTATAATTATTTTTCAAAATTATCATAGATGGATCAACAAGCATGTTTCGCAAAGAAATTTCTTTCACTATTTGAGATTTCTGAAGCCCATATCAAGTATTTGAAAGAATAAAAATACATGCGTCTTCCCTATTTCAGCTACTTATTGGTACCTTGGAGCAGATTTCTGTTTACATTTGAAAAAATTGACTGGTTGAAAATAGGATTATTGGGAGTGAATTATTATTATTACCATTTACAGCGGCAAAATTATATGACATCAGATGTTTAGTCAAAAGATTTTTATCTTGATCACTTGCTGGAGGTATGTCCATTTGAATGGATTTTTTTAAATTAGCTTCAAATCTGTTGTTGAACCATTCTATTATTGGATCCCACTGCATTACTTGAAACTTCAGAAGTTCTTCGTCTTCCTTGAAAGGGGTAGCTTTTAATAGAAAGTATCATATAGAGTTCACAATGAATATGAATGTGGAATACTTACATTGGCTTGGAATAAAACTGTGTCAGTATCTAGATAATTCACAATGTAATTGACTATATCATGCTTATTTAAGTGATTGGGATTATCAATTACTGTATTGCACAAGGTTGTCTGGAAAATAAAAATCATGTTATAGACAGGTCCGAATTATTTTCAATCTACATCCTAGGCCAATAATTGAAAGTACGCCCCTATAAAGGTGAGTCTAGATAGTGTAAAAAGTCCAACAGAAATATAAACAATTTTTTACTCGTAATATAACTGATAAATACAAAACTTCTCTTTTGTAATAATGAAAATATGAATGTAGAGCAATAGTAGACAGGAGTTTGATACAAATTTTCTCTGTGGTATTATTTGATTTTTGACTTGCAAGCAAAGATTGACGATATCTTGGACAAGATTTGGGTTGAATGAGGTGTTGCGTTTTTGTTATTCCGTTAGGTTATTGAAAAATATTACAATATTTTTCCAAAATTTGCTCGCTTGGTCATGGCTGAGATCTGCCTTTTAGGTAATCAGGCTACTGTTTAAAGTAGTATAAAAAAATAGCATTTTAAATCTAACTTTATACATGGATTGGCTCACCAGATGCATTTTAGTTTGGATTATTTTATCTTTCTGTGAATTCCATTCTGTTGCAACTGCTAATGCTAGTGGTTCACTTTCCACAGCAAAAACATTTCCCATTGGAGTTTTCAACTTTCTCTGATCTAGAGTTACTTCAAATTTCCCTTCGCTTCTTAAAATATTTGTTTCCTTATAGAATCTCTTTGGAAGTGTGGCTATAATTCATCAATTGAGAAAAATCAGAAATGCAGTGATAAATTTTTTTAACTTGCCATAAGTTCGAATTTCACCAACATTACTGCGACAGATAACCCTTGATGTGTGAAGAGGTTTCAAACTAGTCATCACATATTTAAACATGATATAAAACTAAGCAAAACCAGTCTTATTTTTTATAAATAACGATATTCAAAATATAATTTTGAAATATATTAGGTTAAGTTGTAGGTTATATGATTTAGATTTACCAGTGTTGCCAACAAAGAATTTGAAGAAACAAAGATAGAACTACATGAGATGTGCACTGGTTTCAGCAATAAAAAACGTTATAAATGATCCACTCACAGTGGCGGCACATAAATCAATGTGTGTAAAATAAGGGAAACTGGATCCTTTTTTCTCTTCTCCTCGAATTATCACAAATATCACGAAATAATTCATCATAATACAATAGTTAAAACGATTTTCACGATTCGAGGTACAACAATATCATTTTATAATATTACAAAAATTATAGCTTTCAACATGAGTGAACACAATTCAAAACATTGTTTACAACTGGTATATATGACACGAGTCATACATACTTCTCAAGCAGATAGATATTGACGTATACAGCTTATCAAATGTAGGAAGAGCTTTCTGAATTCCGTTATGTCCAGCCCACTAGATTTGCGTTGATTAGAAAACAGTGAGAATTATAGAGAGAGAAACATTTCTCAAGTCTCTTCTTAGATTTGAGAAGCTGAAGTTGGATTAATGCCATTATTCAACTATGAATCATATTTCTAGGCCCGTGATTTGTTCAAAGATGCATAGAAACCCTGGTGTTCAAACCGATTTGATAATTTTTGTCAAAATCTCTCGACGCTTGAAATGAGATTAACTCAACTATGTATACATGTTTATAGCACTGTAACATAATACAATTTTTACTATGTTTATAGTTGGAACAAGAATCCTTTCCCATTGTGAACATTGGTGTGATCTTTGTGCCTCTATGAATAGAATGCAGAAGTACGTTGGATCTCTTTATTCTATGAACGAATCAAGAGTGCCATAGATCGAGTGCTTTCATCAAAATATTTTACATAGGCAGAAGTAATAGTGATTATACCATGGTATTTCTATCCATATCCAAACTAAATCTGTCTGTTTAAAATCTGTTTTTCCGTTAACCAGCTGTCGCACCCCTACGAACGACAACCCTTAGAAGTCGAAACTTGTGTGAGCTAAGGATTAACGAGGTCTTACCTTTTAACGTGTGATTCCTAACACGGGTTGGAGGATAGCGAGTAAAAATCGAGCGTTCTGCCCAAGATATAATTATGTGGTTCATACTTGAGATATGTTTCAAAATTAACCAGAAATGTGGTTCGGTGATTCTAAAATCTTCATTACCATGGTACTATTAAAAAACCAACTTTTTCCTAATTCAACTGACTGTATCTATTATGGTTGGGACTTTCCCTTTTCATTTTTGACAGATTATTCAATACATTCATATGTTAAAAAAATGTTTAAAATATGTTTTTTCCATTAATCACCTATCGCACACCTACGAACGACAACCCTCAGAAGTCGAAACTTGTGCGAGCTAAGGACTAACAAGGTCTTACCTTTTAACGTGCGATTCCTAACACGAGTTGGAGGATAGCGAGTAAAAATCGAGCGTTCTACCTTCGGCTTGAACCATCGACTCACACATCGACCGATTGACTGAGTGAACAAAGCACCCACGTCGAACCGCCTTGCTACCGACCAACCAAATATACTTAGATAACTGAATAATAGTGAAGAGAAATATACACTTGCTATACAATAGCGAAACATGTGTCGCAGTTTTTGTAAAATCCTTCATAGTGAAAAATCATACAAAAAACTCCATTAATTAGTTTTAGACATATATATTGATTTTGAATACCAGGGCTGTGACTGTAGACAGAGTAGTTGGTAATGAGGAATTAATCTTCAGCAGAAAAGAAATTTTAAAAACTGTTTTGGTCAGTTACTTTCGTCGATTTTCAATTGAAAAAACACATTGGCTTCACAGAAGTCGTTTGAACTTGAGCTGGATAATCACCCAGTTTGGTTTCGAAGTCGAGATAGGGATAAATTATAGTTTATTAAAGCTTGACGTCCAACATATATTGACTTATCTATATGCATATAATCTCTCAGAAAAGCTATACTTTTAACAAACCTAATGTTAACAAAAAAGAAAAAACAGCCATCTGTTGTAAAAATAATATTTCAAAGATTACATCTAAACTAGAAATAAAATACATAAATAGAAGTAATTCCGAAAAGTGGCCTAATTTGAGTGAAATGACTATCGGTTTTTAAGTAAATTAACAACATTCCTCATCTGCGTTGATAATGCTGTGCTGGAATCCTTAGTTTCAAGATTCTCTCCTAGCATAAACAGTAACGTTGCCGTATCAGCTGGTCCTGTTTGTTGATTCAGCAAACTACTGAAAAACATATTCCACAAGTCTACTTTGGAATACCTAGGGAAACGTTGGACAATTGACCACAATCCATCTTGTTTCTTCAATTTAATGTAAGCGTCAAAAAACAGAACGTGTGCCGTGGCTGCAACACAAAACAAATCGGTGTGGTAGTTCCACGGTCTACCATCCATCATTTCGCAGCAAACAAAGTCCTCCGTTGTCACTCTTCTAGTAAACGAGGCCTTTTCAGGAAATAATGTCATATCAATGCTACACCCAAAATCGATTAATTGCAAGCCGACTGTATTGTCGGGTAAGACAAACACTAGAAAGTTGTCCGGTTTGATATCGGCATGGATTATTTTAACCTCGTGCATGGCCTGTATTATCTGGAGCATTTGAATACAGAAGTATATTACGAGAGATTCTTTCATCGGTGTTCCAAATTTCAGCTTGTGTGAGTTTGCCAAATCCAGCAAGGATCCACCAGGCATATATGCAGAAATCAAAATAGATGCCTGATCACCTAAAAATAAAATTTATCGGTATATAAGTAAAAATATGTCAATTTTCTATTACTTTACATCATTTGAGTTGTACGGAAACAGAAAAGGCATCACATAAATGATATCAAGGTTAACAAAACTCACCAAAGTACGCCAAGGGAATATCCATAAATCTATCTCTAAGTGGATGCTCTGCTAATCTAGCTTGTAGCTCTCTACAAATGTAGAATTCCCATTTATTAGCAGGTTTCTGATATTTCAATGCAACTGTAGCGTTACTATCCAAGTCAAGAGCTTTAAAAACTGTTCCAAAGGTACCTTTACCTAACTGCTTTTCTACAATATACTTTTCTCTATCTGAAAAATTAAAAATGTTTCAGCTTTTGCGGAGGACAACGAAATATTCGAAGAAATAAATTAATTCTTGAGGGTCCTCCTTCAGATGATGCAAATTATCAATTGATTTTCCTTTGAAAAAGAAACTTGAGGAACTTTTTATGCACATTTTAGATCCTAATGCATGTGGTACAGGCATGCTTCCGTATTGTTGAACAATATTTCCACTTTGAACTGAGATAAGTATACAGTTTTTAAAGTGGAAGAACTAGAAAAACGGGAAATTATGTCAGCAGAGAAGCTATCGTAAAAGAGAATTCAATTTTCCGAAGAGATCAAATATTCAAATGATGAGGTTGTTCTGAAAAAAAGCAGTAGACTCTATTCATTGCCTTGTACTATGGATGAAGATGGATTACTCCGTTCACACTGAAATTTTATCTCTTTCATAAACTATATTAGGTTAGGTTAGGTCCAAAGTGAGTGGGTCTATCCGACCCTCCACCGCAACCCGCAAAGGTTTATTGTGGCTCACACCTATTTACACTCGACCAATTAAACCCAGCTTCTTAACGAAGCCGATTAGTTTGTAAGGTGAGTGGTCTTTCAGGTCAGATGGTAAAAGTACGGCTCTGCCGAACTCTAATCTTTCAAAACTTCCCTAAAGTTCCAGTTAAGGGCATGCACCTTTAAGATGGGATGGAAAGCGATTGAATATTTCCAACCCATTATAAATGAAAAAGTCCTTAATAGGGGAATATTTTGTGATGGGCAAATTAAAGGTTTTTTTTTGGCGAGTGGCTTTGCGTTAATTGAAAACCGATTTTGATGTTTTACTATGAGACATTTTCAATAATAAATATTGATATTACAGTGTACTTGAACAAGAAATTTTCCACAGTGAGTTCTACCATTAAAGAGAGCTGGAGTGATATCCATTGATAAGTTTACCAGTAAAGTTCCTCAATTTGGTACATCTATATAGTCAAACATGTCAGATATTTGACTCGAGGTCTGTTTGTATCCTGTCCTGGACAGAAAGCCAGTCCAATACTAGCAGGAGAGTCCTAATGGGGATATATCTGTTACACTTCAAAAGCAATCTCATTTTCCTATTCCGTTGAATACTATAACATATGTTTGAAAGTTGAGATGGTAGTTAAGTTTTGTGAAGAATTACTTTTTTGCAATTTTGTTACTATAATATTGCTTTCTTCCCACTCACTTCGGTCGGAGCCAGGCGATGCACGCCTTTTGAGAGACCCCGTGGAACTTTACATTATTGCAGTTTTCGTAGGGATCTCCAATTTTTTGTAAATATAAATTACAGCCCATGTTACAGGCGAAAGAATTTCTGAAATTGATTGAGTAGGTTTAGAGTTCATCTATTGCAAATGAACAAACAAAGAAACAAACAATTCTGACAGTACTGTCATTAAATTTATGGAAAAAGTATGTATTCTACTCGTAGGAAATAACCTCCACTGTTTCGAATGATTACAACGGTAACATTCAATTTGTAATTCAACTGAAATATTTTGCTCACCGAAAACTTTTCGTTTCCTCAAGAATGGTACTGAGAGCATTGTGTTTCTCCATTATCTTTGGCTCGGTGAACAGTTGCTTTCTTGTATTTCCGAATTCCTCTTCATTGGAAATGGTATTCAGCACCGGTCTCTTGTTCTGTGGCGTGCTAACTTGCATGGCATTCAAATTGAAATTGAATGCATAAGTATCACACGGAATTTCAAAATCTGTCCGATCTTGACATACGAGGTCTTCGAATGAAGAAGCACTGTTATCGCTGAACTGCGGCATCGGTTTAGCGCTGTCGTTAGCTTGCGCGGTATCTGCGATGTCCATGCCCCCTCGGGAACCTGTTTCCGCTAATTCGTCAGCGTTCAACACCTTGAACGCAGTTTTCATAGCACTTCCTGTGGAAAAATATAACTTAAAGCTGTTAATTTGTCAAACAATGGAATTCCATTACACCTTTTTCTGTATTCATGGTTCAAATAATATTCTGATAGTTGAAATTGGAACCTCTAGCATAAGATGGATCTAAAGAAAACACTTTTCCCACACCTGAACGAAAACACTAGTCTCTCGACGCTTTTTGCTAACCTACTTAGCATCATCAGGTAATGATAAGACCAAGTTAGTATCGTCAGAAGATGATGCTCCACCATCATACAACCAAAACTGCTAACTTACCCAACTCCCTAAATACAAGAATATACAGTGCATTTCTTTATTCGTTTTTGAACGAGTCAATATTTCTAGAAATATTTCTTTTTAACTGCCATATGGCAATTCCAACAACCTCATAAGGTGTTTAAAGTTATTTTTTGTTTATAAAAAAATTGTAACGAATCTAAAGCCGCCCCTGACCAGTATGCCGGCCGAATCATGTAACAAACACATGACATCACCGCGAAAGAATGCAGTCGGCAACCGCCGGTAAAACTCTAGTTTAGTACCGAACCGACTACAGATTTCTAGACAGAACCGTTATAGTATATAAGTCCGGCTTCCCGACCCAAGAGGGCAGTTCAGAAAGTAAATCGAGCGGGTAAACAATCATTGCTTGTTCATAATTTTTTGGCCAAAAACAACATGCCTCAGCCACCGTATTCACCAGATTTGGCCCCCTGAGACTTTTTCCTGTTTCCAAGATTGAAGAGATTCATGAAAGGACGGTGTTTTGCGACGATTGAGAGAGCTCAAGGAATCTCTGAGAGAGCTCAAGGACATACCAAAAAGTGCTCATCAGAACTGCTTTGAGGATTGGAAAAAACGCTGGTATACGTTTATTATATCTGAAGGGGACTACTTTGGAGAGAACACAATATAAATTGAATATTCACCTTATTTATTGAACAGAGTAGTATATAGCAGAACCACATGACTTGAGGGAATCCCAAAGAAAGAACATCACACAAAACTACAAAAAATTCAATTTGGTACAAAAATACTCGATTCTGTGTATTGTGATATGAATGTTGAGATTCAGCTAATTGTTCAGTAAATCAACCAATTTGTATTCTCATTAAAAAAGTATTCTCGACCACTTATTGAAAATGATTCTCAAAATAACATGAAAATTTTGTTTGAAACAAATATTTACCTTTCGCCTGCATATGCGGTTGAATTTCTTGCAGAGACTGTTCATATACAACGAAGTTTGTGGGAACTGGTTTGGAAAATGATTGAGGAGAACTGAAAATTTCGAAATTACTCGTAACAGGACTCTCTGTCCAAATAGTTAATGGCGTAACTTCCTGTTGTACTACATAAGGCGATGACGGTTGGTTAACGCTCATTAAGAGCTGCTCTTGTTTCTGAAAAGGAGACCGAGGTTGATAGCCTTTCGGATCCTGGTCATCTTGTTGGGGGCACTGCTGGAAGGAATTTTGATGCTCTTGCAAGGAACGTTGGAAAATTTCATTTTGTTGCAAAGCCATTGATCTTTGAAATATGTCATTTTTTATCTGGAAAATAAATAATGTTGGAAAAACAAAACACATGGTTCAACATAGTTCCTAATATGTTTCTTGTATTTGGCATAAATCCATTGTACTACATCTCCTTTAGTGTATTTTTTTCGGGTGATTCGATTCCAGTTAGAAAAATATTGAGAGGAAATCTTAAATTAGCTTTCGGTATCCCAGAGACTTATATACCTGACAATGATATTTGTGCATAAAATTGTTAATGATTCAATTAGAACATATCTTAAACTATTTGTTTTAATCATGATATTCACCAATATTACACTGGACATAATCTTGACATACATTTAAGGTAGATACTAAAGCATACTGGCTGCTTTTTATCCCTTTGTTCAGCTTTCAATTAGATAGATAGATAGATATCCTTTACTAGTTCTTTGTAATAAAAAAACCTTTTCAGATGTAGAACATGTCAATTACAGTAAACATTACAGTAGTAGTAGAAAATCATGAGGCAGTATCATTAATATTGGTTAAGAATATAAGAATATAAATGGCCACAGATGTGTGAATAATAAGGTTATCACAGTCAGTATACCTAATGTAATATTATTATATTAGATACAGAACACGAACATATACATCTATATGTAGGGTTCAAAAGAGACTAAACTACATCAAAATGCAGAATGATACCACATGAAATATTCAACGCGAACATCAGTTTAAATTATCATTGAAGAATTCTTCCAGCGAATAATAAGCTTCAGAGAGAAGCAAGGTTTTCAATTTATTCTTCATGATCATAGAATAAACTTAGAGCAGAGCAGAGCAAAGCAAAGAGATGAATTTGAATATGTGACCGTCTATGACTTTAACTTATACTACGATGGGTCTGAAAGTTTCCGACCTCCACATGAAGATGGCAACACTCGTAAATAACAGCTGGTGAATTTAGTTTTTCATCTGTTGACAGTTGCTCACCAAAGTTTCAGCCATTTTGGACGCACAGTCGTTATGTAACAGTCGTTTAAGCCAGTTGATGAGGGCGTTTTTATGAAAATGCACAAAACCGAGTCTCGGCTCTGTCATTAAATATTTTCTATGACATCAAACATATATCTATCTATCTATCTTCTGTTGATGACTGCATCTCAGGGTATTCCCCTTTTCTGAGAATTTCAAGTCAAATTATAAAAAAATATACAGAAAAAGTAAAAACGCTGTAATCATAAAATTCAGCAAACATCAATAAGTCATATAATATATCCTCAAATACTGATCTGGAAATTGGTGGTTTTATAAAAAAATGTATATCATTTTCGCCCATATAATCAATGATTTGGTAAAGAGGGAAATTAATATGAGCCAGTACGATATAATTCCCCGAATATACATTTTGTACCCAAAAGAACCATTCCATATATATATATCCGAAGCGAGCAAAACTAACAAGTCTTGTAACAGTTTTATCCCTTTTCTTTTTGTCCTCCCACATATTATGGTAAAGCCCAGTTTCATTGATGAACATATTGTCTTCAGTTTGTCCTTTAGCTTGAGAAACCGACATGAAAACAGCTATTAATTCGGCCAGCCATATTCTGAAGATATCTAAATCGTTATTCAAAAACTTGTAACGAAACCTACTTTCAGAGACGGCAAAAGCTGCATTGAGAATTAGAGGGAATATTTTGAAAAGTAACAATTACAGTTTCAAAACATTTGTTTATATCAGTTCTTTTCACTTTATAATGGGCAACCCTATAACAACATAAATATTCATCAAATGCAAATAAAAACCTAAATCAACAATTTCAAGTCTACTCCGATATAACAAGTGCATCAAAGCAAACCCTATAACAACATAACTAAAAGTCATGATTCATTAAATATCAAGAAAGTAAACGAAAAAAAAAAAACAACAACTGCATGTCTAGTCAATTATGAAAATCACCTCATGAAGAGATTCTTGCATGAATTCGACATCTTCCAATATCTGTTGTTCTTCCTGGGGTAGCTGCCTACTTAGGGCTTTTTGACTGTACTTGGGAGCCCTTATTTCTTCGATGCTGTATTCTGTATTCGGGTCTCTATAAACTTGGGCTTTTGGGTACATGGGAATATGAGCTGGATTTGGTGGCTCTGGATAAGTAATACTGACTATGAAGTCTGAATAATCTTCCAGACATTGCTTTGGATGATTTTTGGGGAGGCGAAGACCTTCTGGTTCCTCCGGAACATCTTGGTGGACTGAAAATGATACAGTTTGACAAATCGTGAAGACAAAAAGTTCAAAAAAATTCAGAAAATATTTTGAGTTTGATTAGAATACAACTGTTTTCACCAAAAAAGAAAATTCAGTTTGCTACTCATTTTATTACTGCACGTCTCACCAGAAATCTGGGAAAACTCAACATATACGAGGTCTGTTAAAAAAAATAGGGTGCATTTTCATTTTTAGCAAAAAATATTTATTTATTCATCAATGTCTATCTTTGAGGAAGATGTTTCACATACATATGTCGAGCCAAACATAGTGGCCAAATTTATAGCTAGTTTCTTGCAATTTTCATATTTTTTTTGGAACATGTTTGATCCAAAATTCTTCAGTGGATACCGTTTTATATATTTGCAAAGATACAACTTCTTGCAAATCAATTATCTCTATTTGAAGCGATGCCTTTGGCAGACACATCTGTCCATTCTGCAGCTACATCAACTTCAAATGATGATTTAAGAAACGGAGCTAGCTTACAATATTTGGCGGTCCGATATTCGACTTTTCGCGGTCTGGAAACGGTCCGCCTGTTGCTGACCGTTGCTCTAAACCTTATAACTCGGGAATAATTTTTTTATACTTTTTTTAAACAGTGCACAACTGAATTTTACTGACGACATACCTTAGGTAAATATCTGCTTCGATGCAAATAAGAAAAGCAGTACTTCTCATTACTCACCCACAAATGCTGGAGTAATAGGTCCAACAACCCTTTTTTTCACCGGAACAGTGGTCCAAGGTCCCGGCTTCAGAGTATTTTCTTTCCTTACATCCTGACGTTTTGCGGCCGTGACTATACTTATAGGGGCAGCCTCAGTTGACGGTCCAGACATATCGACATTTTTATCTGTATAAATATGCACTGTAGCGTTCGGTCTCGATACCGAAGGGTGTGACGGAACTGTTACTACACCATTGCTACTAGGAACCCTAATACTAGATACCCTGCCGGGTCTGTAAGTATGCAATGAGGTTAGTGCCTGACGTTTTTCGACTAGTTGATTTTCATCTCTACCGAATATACACTAAAACAGAATTAAACATAATGAAGAGATGAAAAATACGAATGATAGTTCCCATATACGAGCGTGTTCCCAAAAGTACCCGGCCTGACCTAGAGATGGCGCTGTATTACAGAGTACACAATCTATAAAACATATGTTTCAAGTTTGAAGACGCTGCTTTGTTAAGTATTTGTTAGGCAGCCATCAATAGCCAACTTTTTCGGTGAATTTGTGAAAATGGAGAAAATTGGTAACCGTCATGTGGTGAAATACTTTTACTCAAAGGCCTCAGCCCACAAATATAAAACCTAAACTGGATTATACTCTGGATGAGTCTGCTCCTTCGTTTACAACAGTAAATTATTGGGTAGCAGAGTTTAAACGAGGCCGTACGAGCTGAAAAGTGCGATACATCTATATTATCTGAAAATTTGGACATGCTCAAGCTGTGTGCAATCTCTGGGCTGGTGGCCAAAGATGAAGCAGGCGACCGCCATCAACAAACTAGGCAAGAGGCAAAGACTTGCATGTTTGGGAATGACGGGAGCAATGGGAACTACTCCAACAGCTGCATTGGAGACACTCCTGAATCTACCTCCTTTACACTGGAGGAGGCCAGGATTCAGACTGGAAAACTCGCCGAACTACAAAAGATCGGACCGAACAGAAATTTCGGAACAAGTGGAGGAGCACATATTGAATATGTGCACGGACCACATGACACCGAAGTACACACGCTAGGACTATACACATCCGTCTTTCAGGCGGAAGTGTATGCTATCTTGCAGTGTGCAAGGCTTATTAAATTGAGACCTCAAAGAAATGAGCGGATCCATATTTTAACAGACAGCAAGAGCGCACTAGAGGCTCTGACAAACCCGAAGGTGACATCAAAACTGGTCTGGGAATGCCATGAAGAACTGAATGAACTTGCGAACAGGAACAAATTAACTTTGTACTGGGTGCCAGGGCATTCAGAAATCACAGGTAATGATAAAGCTGATGACTGCGGTAGACGCGGATCTTCAACTTCATATATAGGTCCTAAACCAGCTCTGGGTACGAAACCAGATTAGGACATGGACCAATGAGAAGCGTACAGAGTACTGGACAAAAGTACCTGGCAACAAACACAGTAGAACCTTCATTAGGGAACCGTCCGAGAAAAGAACCGAAGAACTTCTTCAATGTAGTAGGGAACGGCTCAGAATAATTACAGGGTTACTAACCGGTCATTGTCCACTCAGAGAACACCTGAATAAAATGGGGCTGTACAATTGAGTCCTCAGCTGCAGATTAAGCAACGAAGGGATAGAAACAGCTCTACACATCTTATGCGAATGTGAGGCACTGAATCACAGGAGGCAGGCAATATATGGACGTACGAAATTACGTCCAGAAGAATATGACGAACACCCAACACGGAACCTGTACAAACTAGTACAAGGAACGAGACTGATGGAATGGGTGTCATGAGAAGATGGGAGAATGAACGCAATAAGCCCAAGAGGCTGCAGTGTTTTCTGGAGACTTGACTAAATGGACAAGTCAGACAGCTCCCAAGGTACCAAAAAAAAGCTGTGTGCAAGAAGGGTGCCGCGTTTGCTCACACTCGAGCAAAGACAGTATCGTGAAGATGTTTCAATTGAGTGTTCAACGAAGTTTCACAGCAACAAACCAGAAGTCTTGCGTCGATTCATAACCATAGATGAAACATGGGTACATCACTTTACATCGAGACAAGTAACAATCAAAACACTAGACTCAACAGGGGGAGGCGGGTTGGCTGTCCTTGATCATCTTTCACTGCCTGAACTACTGTGCATGCTGTTTTTGTCGAGTGCATTGGCTTGGGATGTGGGGGTTGAGCAAACCGGCCATCGGATGACTGCTTCCACGTAGCCCCGCTGGATACGGGAATGACAGAATCACTTGTGGTTCTGTTATTCCCTAACTGAATGGCATCCCAACGATGGCTTAATCCTAAGCTGTGTGTATCCATGCCGAGAAGATGAATGACACTGAGCCTATCAGCTGTCTCTACGGAACCTTCGAGATACCGTATTTGATGCTCGTCGTAGCATCGCCTTGTCACGGTAATGCAGGGCTCTGCCGTGATTGACCTTCTTTCCCTAGCTACTCGTGGGATTTTTATGGACAGAGTAAACTTAAAAATTCTGACGCCGAGTCTACAGAGGAGATGGATACCGAGTTTACGACTCCAACTGACCTCTCTATAAATTAAGTTCAGAAGCGAGAGCTTCTCAACTCTCCAACTCCTGATCCAATAACTGAACCTAAAAAAAAGGTTTGGTGGTGCAGCCAGAAAACGACTGAGTCGTCTCCCTCAAGAGCAGGGTACCTTATGAAACCGCCTTGCACCAAATTCTTGAGCGGCGTACGCATAATCTGTCTCTCATGAACAGGTTAGCAAACGTTTGCGCTCAAGTGACGATTTACCAAAACCAGAGGCGAAAAAGCCCTGCATAGTTGAATCTAAGGCATCGTCAGGTGTAGCTGACGTGCAAAAACCCTCATATGGGAAGGTTGTCGCGGGTCTCAAGGTGGGAAACTTGCACCTTGACTATCCGAGTACCTCATTAATGATGAAACAACAGCAGAGCATATACTTTGTGCCTGCCCCGCTCGGGACCGAATTAGGTTTTTAGAGTTCGGCAGAGCCTTACTCTTACTATGTGACGTGAAAGACCACTCACCATACAAACTAATCGGCTTCGTTAAGAAACTGGGTTTATTTGGTCGAGTGTGAATAGGTGTGAGCCACAATACCCTTGCGTGTTGCAGTGGAGGGTCGAATAGACCCACTCACTTTGGACCTAACCTCAACAGGGACAACCTGCTCCAAAGAAGGCGAAGATCGTTTCATCTGAAAGTAAGGTCATGGCATCGATTTTTTGAGATGCGTGTGGGATAATTTTTATTGACTATCTTAATAAATGTAAAATTATCAACGGCGAGTATTATGCAAACTTATTGCAACGTTTGAGTGAAGAAGTCCAGCAAAAACAGCCGTTGTTTCATCAAGACAATGCACCAGCTCACAAATCCTTTATCACAATGACCAAAATTAACGAATGTAAGTTTCATTTGCTGTCTCATACACCCTATTCGCCAGATTTAGTCTCCCCAGCTCATTTTCTGTTCCTCAACTTGAAAAAATGGCTTAATGGTCAAAGATTTTCCAACGATGAAGACATGATGTCGGCAGGTAATGACTATTTTGAGGGGCAAGACAGTTCTTATTTTAAACATAATAGTATCGAACTTATTGAACGTAACTGGTAAAAGTGTATACAGCTGCAAGGAAATAATGTTGAAAAATAAATACATTTTTTTCAAAAATTTTCTTTGTTGGGCCGGGTACTTATAGGACCAACCTCGTACCATAATAGTGAGGTTAGAATAGATTCCAACAAGGATTCATCGATGGATTCAAGTAATAATGTCTCCCTATATTTTTATAAGTCTAAAACTTGGACAATTTTCACTATATTTTTTGTTTGATCGGCCCCTGAGATCTAGTATATCATCTTTTGAAAAAAAAATTGTTTAGATCCCTCGGCATCTGATAACTAAATATTTTGTCACTATAAACAATTTGTTTTATACTCTTATTCGAAAACCTGAAATTCTCTGAGAAATCCTCTCTTCAAAAAAAAAAGGCAATGTTGAATCCTAACCCCACTATTATGGTATTTTTATTTCCATCATCACACTTGGGAAAATCCATCTTGAGAAAGTATATCGAAATTTAGATAATCAAATAGCCTCAAGGCATCATATTTAGACATTCGGTTCAGACTGATTTCCACACAGATGATATAATTTTTCCCAAAACAAAAGGAGGTGACAAGCCAACTTTCGCTTATCATCAACCTTCAACTCACGTGTTGTCCTGCAGCCATAATCAAGTTTTTATGTGCGGTATCAAGATCTTCGTATGGCTGAGCCAAATTCCGTTTTCCCTCTTCGAAGACATTATTGGCAGAATGAAAATCTCCGGCAGCTTCATGATAATACGCCCAGGCCCGATACAAATCTGCGCAACCTATGCACAACCCTTTAGCCTTTAACATGTGATATAGTTCCAATGGATTCGGATGCAGGTCAAACTAGAATAGATTTTTGTTTGTTGTATCTCATGAGAGGGAATAATGAAAAACGGTAATTATTGTATCATCATCATACAGAGTTTTCGTGAAGTGTGGAAACGCTTCATTATCATTTAATGATTTTTGAAGGTCGACTTTGTACTCAAGTTTTCCATTTTTTTTCAAAAATAATTTTCTTCCCAGCCCTTACAAGATATTTAGAATTATTTCAATATTTACTTTATTAATTATTTATGACATAGTAACACATTGCTTTAAATATATATTATTCCAAATGTAATAACTATTAGTAGTTACCTCTAAAATGATCAGTGATTCTCTACTACATTATGCATGTTATATACATATAAACCTTCCTCTTGAATCACCCTATCTATTAAAAAAACCTGCATCAAAATCTGTTGCATAGTTTTCAAGATCTGAGCATAGATAGGGACAGGCAGTGGAAAGCAACGTTATTTTATACTATGTATTGATAAACACTGTTTTCCTTTATACTGTAACTTGAAGTGGCATGGCTGAACTCAGAAAATATGGGTTTTCCATTTTCTGATATCATATACATATAAACCTTCCTCTTGAATCACCCTATCTATTAAAAAAACCTGCATCAAAATCTGTTGCATAGTTTTGAAGATCTGAGCATAGATAGGGACAGGCAGTGGAAAGCAACGTTGTTTTATACTATGTATTGATAAACACCGTTTTTTTCCTTTATACTGTAACTTGAAGTGGCATGGCTGAACTCAGAAAATATGGGTTTTCCATTTTCTGATATCAAAATATACCCTTCAAATTAAAAAAAAAATCTATGTCATACTTAAATTTAAAAAACTCGATGTCATACTCAAATTTAAAAAAATCGATGTCATACTTATAAGTTGGTTGGGAATAGTCCAGTTTTTGAAAACAAATTTTGTCTGACAATGATTAACTCGTATGATAATGGAACAGTACATGGTACACTAAAGTCTTCGATAAACTCAAATGCCTAAAATCATATGTTACTTAATAATGTTACAAAACTACTGTTTGCATTGTATAGGATCCTACAAATTCATTGTTGAAGTATCCACTTCAATGCACTCCCTATTAGGTGTAATATTCAAGAAGCAAGGTAATTACCAAGTCAAATTCAAAATCAAAAAATGTTTCAACATGTATGACCCCTTGTTTTACAATTCTACTTCGTCATTTTCAAATAAAAAATATAACAAACTATGTTAGAATATTGCGCCAATCTAATCAACTATCGGAGATAATGTTGAAAAATAAATACATTTTTTTCACCCTCTCTCTCTCTCTCTCTATCACCCTCTCTCTCTGTCACAGAGAAAAAAATAATATTTTTGGCAAAAGGAATCTTCTGTAGTAAAGACAGAGAGGCTCAGTTTTCTTCTGCAAATACTGTTTCATATTTCAGCAAGAAAAGGCAGCCGTTGCTAACTAAAATTATTACCAGGCTGAAAGTATTCAATATTACGAGGAGCATCTATAAAGTAATTTACTTAGATGGAAACGAAAAATGTTTGGAACACACTGTTGTTTTTGAAATATCTGCCTTCAAGATTGATATACTATTGCTTAAATTCAAACTAATTATCTAAACAGTTTTACCACTCTAAAGTTGAAAGCAATGACTCAAGAACTGTTTCTATACCCTATAGAATGTGAATGACGAAAACATACTCATCTTGCTGACCTAGTTAGTATCACGAGGGCAAATATTACGAAACTTGCGGTATGTAAAAAAAGTGTTACCCGAGAACTTACCTGAACTTTATACGTTAAAATAAAAGCAGTTTTTCATACAGCAGAACTACGCTCCTTTCAACAATCGTTTCACCAACCAAGTTAGTATCATCAGGAGATGATCTAAACTAGTCCAAATTAGTTCGAGTCACCTTATGTGATGATCAAGAAAAAATATTTATGGTCTTGAAAAGTAATACAGACACCAGTGATGATAGTGAAGGTATCCAGAATAGAGCACCGAAGGCCACTCGTACCAACCAACTATTTAATATAAAATACAATAGGAACAATTTGAAAGTATATATTTTTACTTAAATTTAATTTCACTCAACTAGAAGTTGATTTTGCCGAAATCTACCCTTTGAGAATATTTGTCAAATCATAAAAAACTACATGCATATTATATTCTACTACGATACCGCAGGCATATAACTTTGAAGGATCACTATAGTATTTTTTCCGAAACTAATGAAGATGAATTTATATGAATAACTATTCAATATAATCATTATATTATATATAAACTCACATATTTGATCAACAGTTTACAAAAACGCCTATCATTTGTGTATCGCTTGTCATTTTCGAATCGGCACAAACAGTGTTCAAGCAGAGGAACGAGATTACCTTCATGGCCGTGTTTTGGATAGCTTTGTTCAATCCAAGAGATATAGTTATAGTAATTTTCCAATGGATCTTCTCCAGTGTATGTCCTTATTAAATGCTCAAATTGCCTGAAAGTGAATTATTTCAATATTTACTTTATTAATTATTTATGACATAGTAACACATTGCTTTAAATATATATTATTCCAAATGTAATAACTATTAGTAGTTTTAAAATGATTCTTTTTAATGTAAATAAACTTAACATTCCAGTAGATGCACCCAGTCTGTAAGACCGGTTATTCACTGTATTTATGATTCAATTTCAAGAGTCTTTCAATCAACACATTGTTTTTAGCAAAAGTTAGGAGGATTAAGTCCTAAAATCATCAAATAATAGTTTGACCAAAAATTTTTCAATGATACTGGGTGAATCAAAACCTGAAAACATTTTTTTGCATCTTTTGAATGCATTTTTTGAAAGATTATGGTGTTGATAGTAACAATATTGAATGTAACAATACTTTTATATAAAATGAGCATAGATTTATCAATAGAAACCAGAATTTCAATTACCAAGCAATCCAGGGTTACAGAAGTACTAAAACTGCCCTCTTGTACAAATGAGAACTAGACCATTCTTATGTTATGCTAAAACCATACTGTCGAACGAGGGTACTCTTTCAGCGAGAGGTAAAGAAAACAGGACCCATGCTATTGGTTCCCAAGAGTAGGTACGTATCCCTTGACAACCAGACATAGACAATTACACAGAGGCATAAGTGTTTATGAAACTCAATTTATATTTCATTTATATTCCCAACAATATATAAGATAATATATAAGATATAAGAATAAATTAAATATGGCTTTAGAAGTCATAATGATTTGTATGTATGAAGTAAAGGCATAAATAAATTTTGAAAGTGTTGATTACCATAAAAATTTGTCTAGTGGAATGAATAAAGTTGTTCACCATTCAGTGATATTATTCAAGAATAAAATAGAATTCGAAAATGAAACAGTGATGTTGGTGCTAGATTACATATGTCTTTATTTCAAACTACATTTTGTATATAAATATATTCAGTTTAAAATTGTTGAAAAACACTTTGTTGCCTACAAATTGAAGTATTATTAATGATATTATCATTTGACTCCAAACAAATTTAAATTAGAAATTGTATTAAGGTTAATAAAAAACATCACGGGACCTAATGTGGAACCTTGTGGAACACCAAACGCATGACATTTCTCCTAGATAAATAAATCTTGACCTTAACAATGAAAGTAATAGTAAAATGAGATCAAAACAAATTATCTAAAATGAGATGAGAAAATTTGGAGTATCTACATCTATATCACAACAAATGAAACAAAACTCACTCTTTTTGTTGCAACAACTCTAACTGAAATTCTCTATTGGTCTGGGCCTGGAGTGCCATTCCCAACTGATGAACGTTTCTGCCTCCTCTCAGGGGCTGAATATTTTCTTTACTAAGATCAAAATCCATTGAATGACTTTCAGCAGCACTGAGCTGTCAAATGCTGAAAGGAAATTCGATCAGTTCATAAAAACACAAAAAAAATCGATCACATACATCAACATTAGAACTTAACAAAAATATCGTAAAACCGATATACTAACATCAACGTGAAATAATAAAAAGATTATTACATGAGTGTTTAAACTTTAACCAATTTTTGTCTGAAATAGAATTAGGCGAGAATAACGACAAAAATTGACAGAATTGACAAGCGAAAGCATCTATTTTTGAAAGGTGTGTTCAGATTTTTTAATATGTGCCAAAACACTTGAACAAAAACGATAAACGACGCGTTCCGTATTTCCTGACCAAAAGGCAGTGTGATGCTTACTGTTCACATCACAGTCAAACATAATTCATTACCATTCATTTCGATAATTCTGAATATATATTCGGTTCGAGCATTGTCTATTCAATATTCAGACAATGATTCGTTAAGGTCACAGAGTGAGCGAATTCTATGTTTCCTATTTTCAAGTTAGCTAGAACATATATTATATTCTTATTCATCTTTTCTGGAACCAATATTAACTTGATTCCTTCACAAAAAATTCTTTTAAATAAAATTTGAATATTATCATTGCTTGATCATAAATACGCATTGAAATCGTTGAATGAATTTACTTGGCTGTTATTAAACTGTTGTACCATCAACTTAGCTAAAACGAACTAAGTCTGGTGAATCTGAGTTTATAGACTGAAGGCTAATTAATCATCAAATATCTGATTGTTTTAAATTGAACTACCAAAATCACAACAACCAGAATAATATAGCCGATACCCCTTTTCCCCGAAACAACATTATTTAGGTGCGCCCTTGTTCCAGTATTTATGTATATTTGAACCACTCTAGTTATAACAAAGCCATTTTGGAATGGTATCGGAAACCATAGGAATCATATTGAAACTAAATATTTATTACGGAAAAAGAGAGAGATATAGAGAATGATATTTAGAATTACTCTGAAAAAGTGAAAATTGCCTAAATCATTATTAAAGATGACGTGTTCTTCTTGGATTTCTGTTCTTAACCATACAAAAATCATTCAAAACATTTAATGGCATTGCTGAAGGATAGAGTAACTAATTTCCGGCAGTGTATTAATGTCCATCCTAAATTGACATAATATAAATTTTCCAACACTTTGACAACAAAAATGCACTTTATTCAAGCATTCTGAATGACTAAAAAGTTCCAGAGTACACATTGTAAATTCATTACCGTTTCGAGTATTATGATGATTCAAAGGATGAATCGTGCATATCTAAAAGAACAAAGTACCTATTTTAGTGCATGGGATGCCTTGTCAGTTGAGAAAACACTTTCAATTTATCGCAATGGGCACAGGTAAGTTAATTGGAATATCTAATCACATACATGATTGCAACAAACTTACAATGAATGGATAGTTTATAATAAATCTAGAAAGAACAGTTGTCATTTGGTGAAGTGACTTTTAGGTATTTAAGCGGACTTTCGGTACAATGTAAGAAGACAATTGAGTGGAGGAGTGAAATTTCCCAACATCAATATTTCCCTGAAAATTTTCGTGCATGAACTTTGAAACTCAGTGTCATTAATTTATAACAACAATAAAATTGGCACACAAAAAAGTTCTGTAAAAGAGCGAATTTTTCACTAGATGTAATAAAATTCTGGTTCTTATACACTTACATTCTTCAACATGCCCCGCTTATTATTACCACAAAGTTACAGTTTTGGTAATTTTTGGTGTTGTGAGACTGCATAAATAGACTGGAGCGCCAAAATTTTTCACTTCTACACTGATTTCAAATCTTGGAAAAAGCTGTGAATGGGCATATTTTATGATTATCAATCCCACTGGTTCACTGAGTAAATCTTTTTGGACTTACTAATCATTATGCAGAGCTGAATCTACATATCTGTAAAAAATATTACAATAGAACAAAGAATATTTGTAACTATGGTTCCTCATGGTATCAATCCATGTTTTCCTAAGGTTTGACGTTTGAATCATCGAACCTAGATTTTACTCACTCCGTGGTCGCTAAAATTTGACCCTTTTGCCATGTCAGTGGTAGAAAAAATACAAAGATGCCCTTCTATCCTTTTTCTAGCAGCCAAAATATCAGCGGGTTTTTTTGTAGACAAACCTCTGTCACTGTACAACAATACACAATATCAGATTGGGTTTCATCAATACATATAAGAGTAGATTAGTTTACTGCTTTCGATGACCGACTGATTCTATTCTTATCTTGTTTTTATTTATGTTATATATGTTTGATTTTGGGTTTATTCAAATTTCAAAGTTGTTTCATCATTTTGTGGGACTTCATTTTTTCCAGTATTCCGTAAGTTGGTAAAAATTATATAGTGTGTGAATATTTTAATTTTTTGCGTTAACATAGGTACGTGTCTATGAACTACTCACTCCACTTGCCAATATTCTGTGACAGAGATGAACATTACGGTTGTCTTCAAAGCTGCTAAGATTTGTCCATTTTCAAGCACAGAACTATACAGAACGCCAAGTTTTTTTAGTCATAAAATATAAGTTTTTGAGTTCTGTGCCTTGACTCCAAGGTTAAAGAACCAAATCACAAAACAACAGAAGTGTATGTCAATGTCATACACTTTAGTCAATATTGTCAAATTGTAATTTCATTCTTGCTGTTTTATGATAATTTAAGTGGAAAGCTCCAAGGTTAAAGAACCAAATCACAAAACAACAGAAGTGTATGTCAATGTCATACACTTTAGTCAATATTGCCAAATTGTAATTTCATTCTTGCTGTTTTATGATAATTTAAGTGGAAAATTCCAATTTTTTAAACAAATTTTCCGTCTCTATTCATTCAATTATCCTTAAGCACGTCAACATGGTGAAGAAAGGAGATAAGATTTCACCGCAATCGGTTTTTTATTTTTTACATTTAGTGATTCATTCATATTGTGCACAGAGCTTTAGGGTGTAATAGGTTCATAGGAAAATACATCCACAAATACAAGATGACTTTCACCCCAAGAGTATTATCAATCCAGAGTCATGTTGTTTCTGGATACGTTGGGAATAAAAGTGCTGTATTTCCCATGCAGGTGAGATTGATTTGATTTTGTTTTCATTTCATCAAATCTAGTTGTAGCTTTTAGGATTGGAAGTGGATTTTATCAATTCCGTTCAACTTTCTACTCACACTGGTTATAAATGTGTCAAAGGACAGATATTATCTGAAAAAGATTTGGCAGACTTGGTTGAAGGCTTAGTCGCTAACAATATCGATTTTTATTCTCATTTATTAACTGGCTATATTGGATCAGAATCGTTTCTGAAACAAGTCATCACAGTCATTAAGCATTTGAAGGAAAAAAATCCAGATCTTGTTTATGGTATGTTGGTTTTTCACAAGTATATAACTGAACGAACTTTCAACAGTTTGTTTGCTGTTGATACATAATCCTATATGAAATTCATCTAGTATCTAATCTAATAATTTTAGTCCTTGGTAGTATCTGAGAAAAAGAAGTCAAGGGTAATCAAAGTAAATACCAATTCATTATCATTAGTTGAATGGGAATAGCAAATTATTTAATGACCCCACTCACGCAAATATTTAGAACATTTGATAAATTGATATGGAATAGGCAAATAGAAAAAGTTAAAAAGAAATTGATTCTATTAATAGGTACTATTGAGAATGGGAAATATAACAGAATTATAGAAAGAAATGCTGTTAAAACACTTCTTTCTCTTATATATTACTTGACAAATAAAGTTCTTTTCTTTTAAACCAGAAAAATCTGTATGAAAATTCATAGTTTGAAGTGCAAAGTGTAATTATATTATTAGTATGCTGATGAATAATTGTTGACAGCCTGTGATCCTGTTATGGGAGATCATGGAAAATTGTATGTTCCCAAGGAACTTGTGCCCATATACAAAGAAACGGTACTATCACTTGCTAATATCATAACACCAAATTTGTTTGAAACTGAGTTGTTGACTGACATGCGTATCACTAAAATTGATGATGTATGGAAAGCTATTGAAATTTTACATGAAAAAGGATGCCAGACAGTAGTCATTTCATCGGCGGAAATTGGACAAAATAAGGATACTCTATCAGTGTTCGCGAGCACCAAAAAAGGTTGGTATAGTTTCAATAAAAAACCGTTAATGAAAAGTAATTTATTACTTCAACACGTTAACACAAGAACCTCTTCTCATCTTTTCTCAGAAAAGGTGAAAAATATGGTTAATTCTATGATTTTGATAAGTTTAACTTTTTTAAGCCAGATATTTGAAGCATGATCCATTTCTAGCACCTGTAATCAAATGTGCTTCCTTGAAAGAGTGTTTTCTGGTGTATTATATCATTTCATCTTCGTGGTTCTTCTTTCAAACATTCATAGGCGCCGCCACTCTCAAGTTTTCCAACTGAATGAGAATAACCAAGGCATAGTTGTAAGCCACTCCCATTGAACCTACTCGAGGCTACAGCCCTGAAGGCAGTCTTCAAGTTACAAAACAAAGCCTATCACTGAAGAATATATGATTAGAAGGAAGATTAACTACCTAGAACAGTATGGGATTTTGCTATCCAACTGAAAAAGCAGATCCTAGTAAATGGACTTACTTATGTGAAAAATTTAGATTCAATTATGACTTCTAATGAACTATGATTCATTTTATGCCTTCTGGCAACACTTCGCTTTTGAACTACTACGGTTTAACACATGGCCAGTGCCAACAAAGTGCAGAACCTGCATATTTCCTGTATCTTCCAGGTTTTTATACAATTTTCGATTTAGAGTGCCTCAGGTCCATCACTATTCAGTGTTGATGGTTTGATGAATCGGATGACATCCAAACCAATTGCCAAAACTACCTCTTATATTCTGCGTATCTATTACTGATCGATTTATGCTATGCATTTTTCTCAAAAAAACAGCCTGTGTAGAATAGTGACAGACAGAAGATAAGTCAAAACATATCATTCGGACTCATTAGCTGTGGCTGGCAGGATTTTGGCCTGATGTTTCGTCAGCAATAGCGACAGCAAGTAATTTGTTATACAGCTACAATGGAAGCCTATACATCATGACCATTCGATCTATTTGGGTAATAGTTTTACGAGACCACCATTCAAGAATGCATCTATTTTCCTTATGAATGTAGGTTCACACTTTACAAACAGATTGTGTGTATTTTCGACATCAACCTCACACAAAACTTCATTGCGTTCAGTTTACTAAATTTACAAAATAGCACATTCCTCCAATATGTGTAAGTTTCTCATGATTGAAAAATTATTTCTGAAATGAGGCTGAATTTGGCGTTTCTGCAATAGTCAACCCGTCTACCTTATTTTATACCTCCCGTAATGTCATCAAAATCAGAGAATTAACCTCATACTCTACCTTAATATCTTTCTGCATTTCATGTTTTCCTCCAAAATGAATCTGAAACAAGAATACTGATTTTAGGTGATTCGACTCAGAAGCTTTCAATGCAATTGAAAAAGTTGCCTATAAACTTCATAGGCACAGGCGATTTGTTTGCAGCATTGTTTTTGTCTTGGATGCATAAAAGCTCGTATAACTTGAAGGAATCTTTGGAAAAGACTATTGCAACATTACAGGCCGTTTTGAAACGTACATCAGAGGGCCTTCAAGGTAAATATAAACATACAGGTGGTTGTTTGGTTAGTTTTACATACTTGCTGGTTTCAGATCGTGATTTGACCCCAAGGAATATCGAGTTGAAGTTGGTGCAAAGCAAACTCGATATCGAAAAACCAAAAATTATCCAAGAGGCTACTGTTGTGCAATAAATAAGTTTTTATTTCTTTGACGAAAAACGTGTGTAATTTTTTTTCAGTATCAGAGAATTTTAAAATGTCTTCCTCATAACTTAAGCAGGCAAAACAGCCATGTTTGCTTAATTCGAATTGTGACGAAATCAATAATAAAACGATTGTATATTTATATTTACCTTTTATTAAAATGTAATGTTACAATAAAAATTACGAACTACAAAGATTTACAAAAATATTTCCTTTCAAGTGAGAATAAATTAAATTAAATTATATCTAACTTCACAAAATGTCAAGAAGCTACCTGCAAAGTATAAACATAATTTAACAAGTACATTAATTGAAATATCTGAAGGTAGCAACGTTCATTCAATGTTAAGCAGAAAAGAAAACATTGCTAGAAAACTCAAAGGCTGCATATCGAATTTCACAAAATGTCCACCTTGTAATAAAATACTCCATTATATAACTAACTTAACTAAGTCATACTTGATAATTTGAGCCTCGTCTTTGTTATCTCTGTATTGATTTCTAAGTGTAAATTAAATATGTACAAGCATTGCCTGTTCAATGTACCTGGCAAATATTTGAAGGGGAAACTCAAAATTTTTCACTTAATTTGTTTAGTACCTCCTGAAAAAAGTACTAATCATTTCGTTAAACTCCATATCTTATCTTGTGTCACTGTTTGAAGCTTTTCTATTGACCCAGATTTGGAAAATTCAATTAGTCTGTTGAATATGATTTTATTATATCAACTCAGAACGATAACATGCGGCAGAAATAAAGGAAACCATAAAAAATATTGAGAGACAAAACCACTGATCCCTTTAATTTTAGTAAATCCTTTAATTTAGTCAGTCGGACAACTGTATCCAAATGGAAGCAGCTCGAAAGAGGAGCAACGAAAGATTCAACGCCATTATTTGGATAAGATGTTTATAAGAAAACAGAACCCTATTAGAATATATTGTTTTGCATAGAAAATTTTAATTCGGTGTTTCGTTGAGTTTCGGAAATTCTAAAAATGAGTGTTTGTCAACAGACTTTACACAAGAGTTCAGAATAAAGTTCTATATAAAATATCCAAACTTGGTTTTCATTTATGGTGTTTCTCATTGATTATTTTAGTTTTTGGAGGTCAAGTCGAAACATTGCTCATTTCCCAATCATATTTCAAAAGAGAAAAAAAAAACAATTCAAGGCTACTAATTATCAACTCTTCTGGCTTACCATCATGTAAATAATTGAAATTCAAAAGGTACATTTCTGGAGAATTGTTATTCCAATCACAATCCAACAACTGATATGAAATAATTTGAAACTACTGTAAACTCGGGCTGTCTGTCCCGCTGCTGTTGTTGTCCCCTGAATTGGCTACAGTTGTGAATCCTTTGCCCTTCTTAGCGGACTTGGATAGACCAGCAACTTCTTTCAATAAACCAGATATTCGATTGTTCAAAAAATTCACTTTGTCTTCGTGTTCTTTCTGAATGGACTTCAGTTTGTTTCTGAGTTCGTTTTCTGTTGTGAAGTTATTTGCCTTCAGTTCGGTAATCTAGAACAAAAACCTAGAGTCAAAAATTCCTAAATGCAATAACAAAAACTGTTTCCCGATCCCTTTTTGCCCAAGTAATTGATTCTGGTATACTTCAACAACAAATAATATTGTTATATTGTAATATTGTTAACTACATAGGCGGAGTCATGGAAAATTTTAAAAATTAGGACATTCACAGATAGCACAAATGTCAATTACACTAGAGAAAAACTAGGTTATATTTGAATGATCTGTAGAAAAATGAATAAAACTTTCTTTTGTAATTTGTTAATGGTGGCATCAGTCAAAAAAAAGAAATGATAATTTTGTTGAGGGCAGTTTTTGAGTGTCATTCGAAAATTTTGTCTGAGAATAAATGATTGAAAACTTTTTTCATATACTCAGATTTCTCAAAATGACTTAACATTTTGTCTACAGACATAATTTGTAACTATGACTAGTTACTGACTGATTAAAAAATACAGAGGATTCTTTCATGTGGAGTCTCTGCAAATCTTGTTTTGCCTTATCAGATTTTGTGAACAAATTTTATATAATATAATATGATTTGAAATCTCTAAAAAAACAAATAAAATCAAAATGAATAGCTGAAAATAGCAATTATATTGAGCAATGAAACGTGAAATGAAATTACAATAAAATAAAAATATGCAAAAAATTAAAATTTGAACTATCAAAAATTAAATATAAATTAAAAAGATACCAAACTAAGTTACTTCACATGACGTTTTGATTGTTAGTATCCACAATCGTCTTCGGGTGATGACTGTCATCAACTGAAGTCTTGACATAGACTTGTTGAGCAGAAGATGAGAGAATGCTAATCTCATATTTATATACAAATTAGTTAATGGTCTTATAATAATAGATTAAAAAGTAAAAGCATCTAAAGGCTGGCTTTCGACAGCAGTAGGTTAGATGTCAATCAGACTTATTATGCACTGTTTAATACATTATTAGACATGGCTTGTCTATTTGGAGCTCGGCAGCACAGTTTAATCTAAATGTTATATTTGTCATTCAGAAGAGGACTGTAAGATCTATTATAGGGGCTAATTTTGAAGACTCCTGCAAACCAATCTTTAAAACGTTGAGAATAGTGACACTTTACTCTCTGATAATTTTTGTAAAGTTACTATATGTCAAAACATTGTTTGTCCGATATACACAGTCACAATACTAGAAATGAAAATAATTTGATTATACCTCAAATCCGGTTACAAAAAATGGACGATACTATTGATATTAAAATGTACAATGCCCTACCTCTCACAGTACGTTCTCTGAACTTTACTAAATTCAAAAAACATTTAAAGACATTACTTACGGAAAATCTCCTATATGGTATTAATGACTTTTTCCATTCATTCCCTCGACCATAGAGCAAAGATGCCTTGCACGATTGTATGTATTGTATTATTATTTTTATTGCACTGTATCTTCGGAAGATTTTATATTTTACTTTTTGAGCATATCTTAATTTTTGGTATTTTGTGACATGTTTTAAAGCTGTAGCTTTGTTATGAACCAAATAAGAATTTGAATTTTGAATTTGTGATATAGATCACATGTGATATATGACAAGTAAATAAAAGCAGTAAAAGCGTAAAAAGGTTTTACATTTACAAATACTATCAGTCATAAAAACATACAATTAAAATTCCATATGATAATCTATTAAATGTATAACTAAATTAAAGCTAAATTGCTATTAAATTCTTTTGTTGTATAAGGACACAGATCAACAAGAACATTTTTTTAGTTTTCGCTATTGTTTCTAGAGGGCTTTTTCTCCCAATTTATGATTGAAAGTTCTTTCTTTGCATAATCTGTTCCTTTTTCTAAAGAGAACTGCTTTCTTCCTTTCTTTGGAAGATTCCCACATTTTTCTATATAAAGATGGAGAAGTAAAAAGCCGAAACCTTTCTTTCCCAAATAATACAGTTCCCGCAACTGATCCACAAGTAGCATCAATTTAAATATGTTGTTCTGGTATGGTAGTTGCTTATTTGAATTATTTTATACAAACCATTTTGTCTTTGTTGATGAGTTCCGAATTCTTCTGTGTCATCTGTTTCTGAAGACTGGCAATCTGTTCTTTCAACTGGGTCATAGCGACGACATGATCCGAACTGTTAGGATCCACATCGCCTCTAATCATCACGGGCGCTGAATTGTTGCGAGCTACTTTGTTGGGAGGGGCTTCATCTTGAGGTGGCATTTTGGTAACATCTGGTCGATTCGGTCGTTTGTTGTGGCCACGCAGTCTGTAAAAAAACATTGTGACAATGTAACAGTCTGAAAGAAGTGAATTCAGGTGGAGTATTATCAAAGTGATATCAAGTAGAAGAATGCATGAATACCAGTTTACGAGTAATTTTTGCAAAACAATCTGTTTCTGTTGAAAAAAATCTGTTTTTCAGTTAACCAGCCAACGACCCACTAAAAATGAAAACTCTCAAAATTCGAAAATTGTGCGAACTAAGGATTAACGAGGCCCCACCTTTCAACGTGCGATTCACAGCACGGAACATAGTGCTAATCAAATTATCATTATCGTTTTCCAAAAAGGATTCAAGTACTGTACCCGAAACATTATGGGTTTATTCTTCGATTTAACCGAGCTTTCGACCTAGTTGACCATCTGTTGGTAGCTAAACTTCATCAAATAGATGTTCGAGGCCCTTGTTCCGACTGGGTAATTTCATATCTGTCAGGTAGAAGCCAGCAAGTTGATATCAATGGTGGTATTTCAGAACCTATTGAAATCAATTTATGAAGCGTTTAATTAGGTTATACATTTTAATGTTATGTGTTTTTGTGCTCCCATATCTTCTTAAATATTTATTCCACTGTGTTGTAATATATAGTGATTGATAGAGAATTTTGTACTAGATACGTTGATCCTGTTCATTTCTTTACACATTTCCATTTTTTGCTTCTCTTCAGCTTATCACTATTGAATTTATTTATGTATCTAGTTAACGGGCAGCACCCAATATGCATACATGTTTTTACGTAGGTGTACATAAATACTTATGATCAATATCAATATTAAAATTGAACCTATAAACTAAAATCAATCCAAAGGAATATAGATGAATACAATGTGATACACATATACATATACTCCGGAAAGGTGCATATGACATGCTCCAGGTTCAGGTGAAAACACCTTTCCCCTTGCCTCTCATGTACACCTACGACTTTGTAGGTACGTGTGACGGATACCCAACGGAACAACAACAACAACTAACCCAGCTAAGGTCGCGCAGAGAATTAAAGTAAAACCTTCAGGCACCTGTGCAACGTTTTACTTTATTTTCAGTATTTTAATATTAACATATGTTTTTCAAAAAGGATTTGACGGATGAGGATAAGTGAATTATGACACGCCATACAAAACAAATATAACTTTCCCCCATCAGAAAACATCAAACTCATAAAACAAGTCAATAAAGGAAACCCTATGGACATCTGGGAAAACCTAAACATCCATAAATTCAAAAGTCATTATTTTCGCAATATTAAATTATTCAACATTCATCAACAACCAATGAGATCAAGGTCAAGTACAAATAATATAAGTTAGTCAATCATTAGTAGTAGGCATATTTTAAACAAGAGTTGCATAATCCTTATCATATGAATTAGGTGTGTGAACATTTAGAAACGAATTTATAGAACGTGATTTTACGAGGATTTCTATTTGGAATAACAAAACAATCCTCAATATTTTCAATGATGGTGGAAAAAGTCGATTTCAATTGGTTTTTTGTTATTTTAGAACTATTTCGTCATATCTTATTATTCCTGTGCATTAAAACACTTAGGATTATAGATGTCCTAACACATTATGACCCATTTAAAATGGAAGCACCCTTAAAAAAAAATCAGCCGATAATATTTTTTTATCAACCCAAAACTTCAGGTTTCCAACTTCAAAACTGACGAAATTCAAGTTTTTTCCTTCTTGGGGGGTGGAAATTCCTGACGCCTTTTCATGATGCTCACTTATGCTATACAAAGAACCTACCTGCATATTTCAAGATTCTAGGTAGCTTCGGCTGTATGTTAATATAAGAGCGGTCAACAGCTAGTAATTTATATTTTTACTTTAAAAATACAATAACTAAAAAAATATGCCAACTGCACTAAGTAATGAATAGCTTCGAGTTTCGAATTATGTGACCTATAAAGAAGTTCGCAAAACTAACACAACCGTCACGAGCGTCTGCTGGGGTTCTCGACGATGGCACTTCATTGCTTAGACCGCCCCTCTATCCCAACTCATCGTCTCCCGTCGTCTTACAGTAGACGCGACGCGTAAAGGCTTACTGCGTTGCGTCAAGTTGATCTCATCGTGATAACTTTTAAAAGATTCGTCCAAATTACTTAGTGTAAATGACAATTGAATCAACTTTTTTTTCAATTTGACAGATATTCTAAAATGTGCTCAGTATTTTGCATATAGTGGCTACCAATTTCTATCATATGCAACTTTTGTAAAGTGTTTCAGATGCTTCTTAAGAAGACAATCTATTGTCATGTCAGCTACATTATTAGCCCCAATCAACACGGTTTCATGAAAGGACGTTCAACCACCACCAATCTTGTAACAATGTAATAAGTTTCTAGGGGTGCACATGGAATTTTCTTTGGAACCTTATTTACTGGTGACTTCAAATTTTTAATCACGCAAAACATGTATCAAAGTACATCATAATTAATCATGAAACTAAATGGCACTTTTAGAAGGAAGTTCTTCATTGGTTATATTGGAGGTGTTACAAAATATAGTCATCTCCTGATGATTCTAACCTGGTTAGCGAATAGAGGATTGGGAGAAAGCATTTTCGTTCTGCTGAACAAGTCTTCTCAAAAAATAGAAAGATATTTCGTTTAGAGCACAGAAGTATAGGAGCACCAGATTTGTGATCAAAAAACCAAAATAGGGAGGTCTGGAAAAATACTTCTCCAAATTAACTAAAATCTTTCTTGAATAACAATGTTGTGATACACACAATCTTTCAAACTACTATAAAAACGATGAGTTGGTATATTTTGATTAATTTTGGTAATAAAAAAAGTGTTCGGTATTGTAAACAAATTTTAGACTCACTTGCCCTCCTTATGTTTATTTTTATGTAACTGAGATCTTTTCAAATGCGCTCTACGTTCAGCATCTCCTTGTTTTGTTTTAGCCAGAGCCCTTTTGAAAGAAAGAGTACACAACCAACACAAAAGCTTCCCGTCCACCTAAAATAACAGAAGTTACCAATGATACTGGACAGATCCACAGGGATGATGCTGGAGTTTACCTTCTTATCGTCATCATGTCTATCGAAAGCGCATTTTTGTTTGCACTGTTCACAGTTGACGGGGGGACCATACTTAATTTCGGAATTTGTGCAACGCTGGCATTTATTTCCGATGAATCCTGCTATAATGTTACAATACTCGCATGCCGTAGGCTTTCCATAAGATTTAACATTCTGTTCACACTTTTTACAAATAGTGCTAGTGTTTCCTCTCGAAGTTTGTTGAAATTCGGACCGACAATAAGTGCATTTTACCACAGGAAAAGCCCCGCGACACTCCTAATTGAAGAAAATAAATAATTGTCTTACTTTCACCAAATACTTCCATATACATAAAACATTGTTCAAATAAAAAGTAACCTAGTACCCTGAACTTTTAATATTCATGCATTCTTCTGTGTTTAGAAAAATTGGGATGGAAATCTAGGCAAGAATAACTTTTGATTCAAACTTACTTTACACAGCTGTTGCCCAGCAGATAATTCCTCGAAGGGGTGTCGAGCAAAACAACGAGAACACGCGAATAATAGTTGAGCACTCATTCTAAAGAATTGTACGAAAACGTTTGCGATTTGTGAAAATGCTAACGGCGAAGCGTAGAATGGTCACAAAATGACGGAAAATGAATGACCTCTGAATGAATAAATGCCAAATTCAATCACGATTACCAACGCACACCTTCAAAAAGTACTAGGGTTTCATTATCTCCCTCTCTCTCTCTGATTGGATACTCGTTATTTCCTGTTCGTTAAGGCCTCAAAGGCGCAGTTGACCATAGCCGAAAAATAATCTTTTAGTGCTTTCTGTTTTTTTTAAGGATATGTTCGGATTGACGAATCCGTGAAATGATTCGACACTCTCCTGAACCTCCACGAGTCGTTCTTGCTCTCGAGACTAAATTGATGAGTACTGTTCTCGTTGCGCTCACGCACGAAATTTGGGTTGGTTTCTGGGACACATTTATTCAATTTTGTCAGTTGGTGATTGAGGTTAGGTAACATTTGAACTGGATATTCCACTACAAGGATACATTACACGGATACGATCAACAAAATTCTATCATCTTCATCATCTTTTAACGATAATGAACCAATTCTTCAAATTCAAAATGCTGCGGAAGTTTTGGTTTATATACTTTATATAACTCTAAAAGTACGAGAATCGTCTCTCTACTGAAAAAGTTATCTACATCTTTATTTTCACTATTNGACGAAATAAAATAATTTTTTATGTTATCTTTACAATTCAGAAAATTTCCTCGAACATCTTTGGACAGAGAAAATTACTTGTATGTCAATGAAAATTACAACTTAGAGAATGAAAAAAAAAATCGTTTGGAATAATTTAATTAATATTACGTTTATATGAATATTAATTAGCTATGAGGATTCACTGAATGTCTATCCAAAGTTTCAAAATAACCCACACTTCACTCGAAAAATAAAAAGTTCATGCAACGTAAGTGTACATTTTTCTGTCCTCGGGCGTCCGAGCTAAATACTCCCTCTCGATCAGACCTTCTATTCTCTTTTTGATGATAACCGGCGAAGGCAGGAATCTGCTCTTGAGCTGCTCAGTCACTTCAGTAACCAAGATGTTGTGTGCCATCCGTTTCCGCGACTTCATAATTCTAACAATCGCGGCCTCTATTTCGTGCTTCCTGTCTTCATCGACCTTATTCCTGGTTTCGCGACGTTCTGGCTCGCTTTCTCCTTTGGCAGCTACCGTTTGAATTTTCACTCGATGCAACTTTGAAGTGAAGGAATCGTTGACGTAGAACTCGTGAGAGGATTCGATTTCCTTGGTCTTGGGGTTTTTGATGAGAATACGTTGAGTCGCTTTTCCCATGGCGAGGGACTGCAGCGCTCTGATGAGATCGCGTTCTGGTATGTCAGACTCATTCAGTATTTCCTCGTAGGTGAGTTTATCGTGGTTATTGAATAGCATCAGCACTACCATTTGATAGGTAGATACCTGGATTATATGCTTTCTTGGTCCTGTTCTGGACGATACCAAGCTGGTAGAAGACGAGCATGCTCCATCTTTGTCACTGTCATCCTTCTTTGAACCATAAAACACTGCGTTGAGATCGGCATTGCCTAGCTGCGGCTGTAGTGTTAATTGACGCCCGCTATGTTTGGCCAAATAAAACCTGTAATGTTACAATACAAATAATAATCTTATCCGTGATAATAATCACACAATTTTTAGAAACATTTTCATTTCTAGACGCGTTTCAATAAACCTTCGCAGAAACAAATTCTCTACCGAGAATTGAGAAACGAAATCTTTCAAACAAATCATTTTAATGTGACTATAACAAAATTAATTGACATCAAAAATAGTTGATAGCTGAACTACAAATATATGACTTGTGGCTCTTGTCTAAAACTTTATATTGGCCAAACAGGGAGAACATTTTTCTCAAAGATATAAAGAGCATAGAAGTAGTTTTTTAAATAGAAAGACCAATTCCACATTTGCAAACCACCTTTAAGCAGAAGGCCATGAGTTCAATCATGAATACGATGTATCACATTTAGAAGAGAAGAGTTTGAAACTCATGTTTAGGAATTCGGGTAATTTACTAAATGATCAATCAGAATTGAATAACTCCCCTTTACTAAATATTTTTTTCTTACATTTACCTTAATCTCACGAATTTATTGGAAAAACTTGAAAAATATGAAATGGGAAATGTTCCTCAATTTGGGTTATTACAGAAAATGCAAGTTTGAACAAAATAAAGTAGAGTTTAATTCATGAGTTTTTCAAATTCACTTCGAAAAGTATTCAAATTGATGTTTCAAATAACCCCATTTCAGTGTGA